ATTGTTAACTGTTTAAATGACATAAACTTAAAATTCTCATGGTATAAACGTCTTGCAATTGACTGTGTTTTAATTAAACCTATAACATCAAAATAATAAATATTAAAAAATACATTTAAATTTTTTTATTTTGTAATTTTTGTATATACTTAGGTGTATATATTTATATTGTTTACTAACTCAGATTTAAAATTTTAAACATTTATTTTTATATACTAAGACAAGATCAAAATTTAAATTTAAGCGTTTTAATAGTTGAATCAAAATTTAAAATAAAGACAATTAACAATCCAATTTAAAATACATACCTGGTGCACTCCTTGTCAATTCTACCGATCTCTCCCCTGCTTCCTTTAAAATTGCATCTCTTATTACTGGCCAGTGGTCATATATAATGTCCGTTTTGTCAGGAAAAGTTTGATTGAAATCAGATTCGAGCTAAAATACAATTTTAACTTTAATTTGAAGTATTTTAATAATTGTTTTATATCTACTTTTGGTTCTTTTGTCAATTAGGATTTACACATTTTTCTATTCAAGACTCATTATAAATATAGTAAAAAAATATGTTTTGTTTAACTAAAACCTCTTTAATTAGTTTAATTTTCGCCACCCTGTATGTTTCTTATTTAAATTCTTTTTTCAGTTTTTACTATATAAAACTTATGTGAATAAAAACTTACTAATTCAATCCCAAATGCAGATTTGAGACAAGGAAACATGTCATATAAAGTTGATGTTGTCCTGGTGAAGAAATTGATACATATTATGTACCATATGCATCAAAAACAAAGTTGGGTCTCAGAGTTCCTGCTAGAGGTAAACTATGGTCCCGATATTTAAATATAAAAGCAGCCTTACGAGTAGCAAATCGCTCTCTTGTTCCAATGGCAAACTGTGATCAAGAAAATCTCAGTCGCAGCCCTCTTGAGGAGGAAAAAAAGGAATTGAACTTTTTAAAGTCTGCTGTAGAGCCATACATAAGAATAGTTCAGGCATGGGAAAATACATTCACTATTAGGACCCGGCTCTATAATAAGGAATCAACAATTTTATTATTTCTTCTGCACATTCCATGAGTTCCTCTTTTTTAATTCTAAAAATAAAAAAACATTTTATTATTTAATCTATTAATATCCAAATAACAGTACCTTTCCTAATATGCAATAATAAAAATATTTAACATCTACTTAGTACATTTTTAGGTTTTATTTCAAAAATTATGCATTAGCTCTTGATATAAATATCTAAAAGTTATCAAATATATAAGGTACATCCCAATTAATCAAAAATTGTTCAGACTATTAATTAAAGATAAAAAATTTCCACTACATTTTATTCATCTTCATTTGCCAATGAAAATATTGAGAGAAGAATAAAATATTATTACAACCCACTTACTCGTTACTTATAGATCCTCTACTGATGAGAATATGATTAATTACTATTTTGACCAGTTTCTGTCTTAGGTCATTTGTCAATTTTCTTTTATGAATCAAGACCAATCTGCCTTCTGCAGTTGAATTTAAAATGTTTTCCAAACCCTGAAATGTAAGACTTAGAAAAAAAATTAAGAAAAATAACATGCTTACTAACCTCTGGAAAAACATTACTTTTTATTTTTTTTCTAGGTGGGGTATCATCTTCTTTTAAAGCCTTAAATAATGCATATAATTAAAAAAGTAAAAAACAAGCTCCATAAGTATATACCTACCTCTGGAATCAAAACTTTTGATTTATTTTCTACATAAATTGCTGTTGATGTTGTTGGTAGATCTTTGGCCTCATCGTTACAGCTTCCCTCAAGGGTCCTAATTAAATCAGCAGTACTGCTGTCAAAACTGTTGTCATCAAAGCCACTACTTTTTGGCGTTGATGAAAATGTGAATGTGCCATCATCTTCTACTTCAAAAATGATTTTCTAAGAAATTAAAAAATTATCACATTAAGAATTACCTAATATTATTATTAAGTATATAAGATATCCTGCACAATTATCTACTATAAGGTCAAAGGAAATCTGAATCTAAAAAGTATGTTTTTACTAGGTGTATAAGTACCTTGTTTTCTAAAAGATATTCCTGGAATTTCTTTTTGAAAATTAATTTAGGGCCAATTTTCTGGAAAATAATATTTATAGTGTCATCATCTATGAGTGGGAACGACTCATCTGTAATTCCCTGTTCTGAAATACAAAATTATAACAATATTAAAATATCAATAATGATTATTAAATAAAAAAATGAAAATACGAGGATACCTAGTGTAACCTATACATAAGGCAAGGGCGTATTTAGGTGGGGGGGGGGGGGCGAAGGTAGTTTCGCCCCCCCCCCCCTGAACAACCTTCCAACTTAAATGATTTTAAACCAAAACAATAGTATAGTAGTATACTTTCTGTATTAAAACAGTTTTTTGAAAATTATCGCCCCACCCCTCTCAGAAAAATCCTGGATCCGCCCCTGACATAAGCACACATAAATAAAAGTAAAAAGTGAAAAAAGAATATGGTATTAAAAGCTAAGGAAAAATTAAGTTAGTGGTACACAAAAATAAAAACGGCAATGAAATATGCTTTAATTAGGCGATGGGTACATATTATACTTTTTACAACAAACTTTATAAAAATAATTTATAGATTATGAATTTTTTTTTTTTTTTCATTTAACTAAATTACCTAAAACTTCAGTAGAATGCAATGTATTTTCTCTTTTAGACACAGTTTTAGCCTTATTACTCTTATTCCAATATCTCAATCAAATACATACAATAACAATTATTGTAGTTTACAAGTAAAAATAAGAATAAAACTCAACTCACACTAATTAGATTAGTGCTTTTGTTGTAAATCAATACTAAATTTGGACTTTTCAAGGTATTAACGTAAAAAACTACTTCCATTGCATTAAAATTATTACTGTTAATCATTACATTTTGACAGAATATACACTAGAGATGACAAATTTTGGTTCCATGCACCATAATAATATTAGGCATTCCAAACTGAATGGCTACCAGTGGGTTTTGACGGGTAATGATATGGCAAAATTATGGCAACCCTGTAGGCCTGGTGATTTGACAAGATCAATGAAATAGATAGTTACATAGATTGATCATCCATATTTTTCAAAATAAACATAAGCTTATGCCTTAAAGTAAAAATATAAGCAATTATTTTTTTAAATACCTAAAGGCTAAAAATTGGTTTTAAAACACATTTTTGCTAAACCGATTCAAATTAATAAATATTTACCAGACAATATGGCCGCTTGTAAACGACCAGCTTTGAGCAATCTATATAACTATATATGTATCATTGACCCTGTTAATGACAACATGACAACAGGGTTGCCATATCTAAACTGTCATTACCCACTGGTAGCCATTTGGACAGGTCGTTGGAATGCCTAATAGACTTATAGAGGTAATAAGTATTCATTAACATTTTATTTCTATTATTTTCTAGATTGTAAAAAAACTAAAAAAAACGTCGAAGACAAATTCAATTACAGAATGGTTTGTTTTTGTTAAAAGTTAGGTTAGATAGAAGTTACGTATAATGGAATCAAAATATTAAATATGGCTGTTTAATTGAGCATGCGCATGTGTGTGTCCTGTGATAGTTCGATTGCCGGCATTTATGACGCATTTTTAATTTTTTTATTAATTTTTAAGGAAAATTATAATTTGTTTATCAGAAAAAAGTTATTTTAGTTGACCATAAATAAATGACGAAATACACTTACCAATAAACTCTTGGGTGTAGTTTTCTAATCCCCAATTTTTCAAAGTTTCCGTATAATCCATTTTACGGCACAATTTTACAAAACACGGCACTAGAATACACCACCGGCTAAAGTACCACTGGCACTGCCCAAACAATGGTCCTTTTTATGGGAGAAATAATAATTTACTTTAAATTATTTAGGGATTAAAGGCACGCAGGAGGATTTCTATATAAGCACAAGCACATGGGAGAAGCACATGTAGGCTATGTAAAGGTACCCACAGGCACAGGTTGTCACGACTCACGACACGACACAATATTCAAATGAGAAATATGATGCAAATGATCGTCGCTCGTGGCTGCCGGTATTGCACGAATACTAGTTTCCGTGATATTTGCATGTGATGGAAGGGATAAAACCATTAACTTTACTTAGGGTTATTAAACAATTATTAGAAACGTATTAAAGAGTTTAATAAATATTATTAAACAACTTTAATAGAATCAACAATACTTATGGATATTAAAGTTGTTTACTAATACATTATTGGCTATTAAACAATTAACTAATTATAGCAGCTTCAGGTTAATAGATTTCTAGCAACCTTCGTTTAATTACTGCTATTAAGCAAAAATGAGGTAATTTATTAGTGGTTATCAAATTTTTTTCTATTAAACATGTTTAATAGACCACGTTTTCTCGGTGCATATGATATATGATAAATCATATAATAAATCATATGATAAATGATGATAAATGATATGATAAATGATATGATAAATGATATGATAAATGATATGATAAATGATATGATAAATGATATGATAATTGATATGATAAATGATATGATAAATGATATGATAAATGATATGATAAATGATATGATAAATGATATGATAAATGATATGATAAATGATATGATAAATGATATGATAAATGATATGATAAATGATATGATAAATGATATGATAAATGATATGATAAATAAATGATATGATAAATGATATGATAAGTGATATGATAAATGATATGATAAATTTAAAAACAGAGACTTAAATGAAAAAATATTTATACATTTTTCGTTTATAAGTTGTTTTTTTTTCTAATATATGCATTTATTTTATTCATTAAGTCATTTACTAACTTAATCCTCATATATAGTATTATCAGTTCTCTTGAACTCGGTTTAAAAATAGTTATTTTTGACATTTTACTATGGTATAATATACATAAAAAACTTGAACTTGTTTCGTTTTCCAATGCAATACCTACTTGATTAAATGTCGGATCGTATACAACTCTTTTTAGTTCCCCTTTTGCACTGTGTAATAATCTCCCTTTCATGGGTATTGCAGATTCCAAAACATCGTCTTCTATCCCTATAGAATTCAGTGCTTTCCTGCCTCGATGTGATAACGCCAAATTTATAGATCGTCCTTTTACTTCTACAGCTGCCCTTATATCTAAAAATGTTTTTTTAATATAGTACGCAGATATTTAAAAAATTATTAGTATAGTAAATCCTCTGTATTTAAAGATAAACATTTTTGACAGCCTATTTGCCCATATTAAATATAATTATGCTACTAGGAATAAGAGAACCATATTCTAAGAAATCTTTTATAAAATTTTAATTAGAAATATATAACATTTTCTGATAATTTGTTTCTAAAAGAAAGAAAACGAAAAAAAAAATATAGTTATCGGCCACTGAACGTTTTTCAATAAACGAATATCAGCGATGAGTGTTTTACGTCCTGACCACGTTGGTTGGGCAGTATAAACTTTTTGTAGATGGACTTTGGCACATAGAAGGAAAATATCATGATTATATTTACAGACGAAGTCCAATTCACTTATGATGGGATAAATAATACCAGGAATGGACATATTTGGGCAGTTGAAAATCCTCATACAGTCACACAATAAAATTCCCAATATAGATTTTCCATAAATTTATAACTTATAAAATCACCTAATAGGCCCTCATATTTTTTAAGGAAGATTAATTGCTGAAGTTTATTTACATTTTCTGAGAGATATTCTGCAAAATTTGTTAGAACAGATTAATACCATATTTATGTGGTTTCAACATGATGTTGCTGGATCGCATTTTCCTATACTGGTCAGAGACCATTTAAACCAACATTTTTTCAATATATTCATAGGTCAACGGGATCTCTAGATCATACACCTTTGGATTATATTTCATGGGGCTATCTCAATTTAGAGGTAGGTATACAACGAGGAAATTAATATGGACAACATTTTTAATGTAACAACATTAGAAATAATTGACAAATAAGTGAAAAACCTTTTAAAACATTCTCAGGAGTGTATTAACGTGCAAGGTGTTCATTTTAAAAATCTATTCCAGTAATTATTCTACCTACCTTTTTTAAATTAGTTTGTTCTGTTACATATTTATTAAATAAAAAATTCCGAAATATTGACTTTTTTTATCTTAAAGCCATCCCAGTCATGTACAGAGAATCTATTTCTTATTGAATATTAAACAAAAGTAAATAAAAATTTTAATTGCAATATTGTAAGTGTAATTATTTTTACTCATAATTTTTTTTTATTTTAAAAATTTACTGTAAAAAAAATCATGAACAAACCATGAAATATTATTACATTATTTTAATATCTAATTCATGCAAAAAACGATATACAATGTGATATTTTAGGTATGAAGAGCAATATAAAAAATCTGATGTATCCAACACATGACTTTCCTATCTAGTTATTACAGGATTTTTTCGGTTATTTTGTACAACCTATTGTATCACCTCTGTAAATATTTAGAGGTTAACTTAATATATACATTTTCCACATACATCTCAAAACATTTTTCTATATACACAAAAATTATAGAGATCGATATCGCAAACACCTTTTAGTACAACAATTTTCTTAAAAATCAGAATTTTTTACTTTTTGAAAAATTTCTCGAATACGGACCATTTAGGAAAATTTTGTATAGAACAAAAATTATAGAGAATAATATTAGAAGTAACTTTTATTTAAATAATTTTCTTCTCCAAACGTAAATAACAGACATATTTCATAAAATATAAAAATGACCCCTTATAAAGTACCCCTCAGATGTTCCGACTCTGCCCAAAATCTAATTAATTTACTTCAGGTCGGAATAAAGCACAAGTTTAAAATTTTAAGATTTTTTTCTTTAACCGTTTTTTAGTTTTATTTAAAATTCAAAATTTACACTTTTTCACAAATATCTCGAATACGGTTCATTTTAGAGATATTATGTATATGACAAGAATTATAGGGAATTATATCACAAACAAGTTTTATTTGAACAATTTTCTTAAAAATGTGAAATTTTACATTTTGAAAAATTCTCGGATACAGACCATTTTAGGAAAAAAATGTTACAACAAAAATTATAGAGGATAATATAAGAAGTACCTTTTGTTCAAATAATTTTTTTCTTTAAACGTAAATAACAAATATATTTTTTAAAATATAAAAATGACCTCTAATAAAGTATCCTCCAGATGTTCCGACTCAGCCCAAAATCTAATCAGTTCATTGGACGCCGGAATAAAGTTTAAAATTTGGTGTTTTTCTTTGTATCGGTTCATGAATTATCGTGGACACACACACACACACACACACACACACACACACACACACACACACACACACACACACACACACACACACACACACACACACACACACACACACACACACACACACACACACACACACACACACACACACACACACACACACACACACACACACACACACACACACACACACACACACACACACACACACACACACACACACACACACACACACACACACACAAACACGCGCGCACACACACACACACGCACACAAACGCGCACACACGCACACATATGCACACACGCGCACACACGCACACATATGCACACACGCGCACACACGCACACATATGCACACACACGCACGCACACGCACACATGCACACACGCACACATGAACACACGCACACACGCACACACACACACACACACACACACACGCACACACACACACACACACACACACACACACACACACACACTAAACCAGGACTTCCCAACTAGTGAGGCGCGCCTCCCCATGGGGGCGTAAAAAGATCATAAGGGGACCCCAATGTATTCGGATATAAAAAGAAAAAAATTATAAGGAGGGCATGAATATATTTTTATAATCCAGGGAGGCTCAAAGCAAAAAAGGTTGGGAACCCCTGTACTAAACTAGGTTTATTTAAATCTGGGCACCCTGTATATTTATCTATTTTAAATATATATTAAAATGTATATAAACTGGGGTGTAATAAAAGTAAATTTGAATGTAAATTATTTTTAAGTAAATCACTTGAAACTTACCGTCTCTTCTTTCAAACACTTCAACGTCATATCCTCTTTTAGCCATGAAACAGGCACATACTGATCCAACCTAAAAAAACATACATTTTAAACATTTAAATGCTTTTCAGCTGGCTTTTTCATCACCAATCCACTGCCGATTATAACGACTTTTTTTCTATTATTGTCACTCATTTTAACTGACATCGGTGTATCTAGACACTATGAATCTATTACGAAAGGCTTCTTTCATAGTTTAGAAGTATATCTATGCCATGTTTTAGGTTTCAGTATAGATTACATGAGCAGTTATAAATAAAAAAAAAAACGGATATCGAGAAATCATAATCTTGTTTCCGTAAGTATGGATTACCTTTAAGAGCCATAACAACTATACAGTATGGTGTAAATCAGTACCCGTTGAAAAAATCTTGAAAGCATTCCATTTTTGTTTCGTGAGATATTTTTTATGTTGAAAAAATTTTTAAATTATTTTAATACCATTAATAAATTAATTCATTTGATACAAAGGTTGAAAATTGAGGGTCCACTGTAGAAACTGTCAGATCCATTTTTGGTATCAATCCAATCTTTTTTTGTTTAGAGAAGACAAAACATTAAATGACTATCTCGTTTTTTTTTTAATCGAAAACAAATGAAAAAACAAAAGATGTATCAGTTGAGAACAATCAAGGCAATGGGGAACTTAAAACCTTATATTCTGTAGGAGAGTCCTCATAAAAACTGCAAAATATCGATATTTTCAGGATCTGAAGGCATATCTGATGAATGCACGTGCAAAGGACTTCTATGATAAATGTATAAAATGATAATGAAGATCTAGAGTATGTGGACGACTACCTGATTTTGCAACACACAAATTAATGTTCTAAATTTAATTATGTATTATTTTTAGAAACAAAGCACGTATATTATCAATAAATAACTAAAAACTTTGTTTCTGCTTTCCTGAAAATTTTGGTATCAGAACTGTGATGGTTTTTGCAGTAGATCACTCAAATATATTGAAGCTGCTGATGAAACAATAATTGTTTAATAATCAATTATGTATAAGTAAAAACTGTAATATCTAATTTATATAAAACTGGTTAAATGGAACCTATGCTAGAACAAAACTAGAGGATTTTTTCACACGTTTTTATTAAAACGGGCATGTTTTCAAGGATTTAGCCAGTGTCACTTATATGTCAATTTTAGTATCATTAATAATATTGATTGATTTTAACAAATTCTGGGTAAACTAGGTACTTTGTATTAATACGCACACAATTATATATTTTCTTATAAATATGGTTTGCAGTACTGAAAAAGTCTAATAGCTGAGAATGTCTTTCAATTATTATTAATTGACAATTAGAAAACTTGGAAGATAAGAATCCTCAAAGATTCAGACATGCAGAGGCAGAATCCATTTTTTTAATTAAATGGATATTGAATGAATATTTTTTATATTTTACTGTGTAAAAATTTAATTTTTAATTCATGTTCGTTTTATTTACATATATTAATTTGCATGCGATTTCTTGCAACTGGTAGTTCAAAGTTGTTCTTCTGTATCACACGTCAGTCAAGAATACAGATTTTAAACACTACTCGCTTTTCACCACTCGCTTTCGAAAACGGTTCGTTTTTTTAACGATTGTCGATGATGATAGCCGCCCAAACTGGTGGAGCCGAATGGAAAATGAAATTAAGCTTAGCACAGAAAACAAAGAATATAAATTTGATAATGTGAATGAATTTTGTAGATCTTTAAGGACTTCGTCCATCACTCTTTGGAAAGTGCTTGGAATTCTTTAATCCCATAGGCATTCGAACAAACTCGTAATGTCCATGATCCACATAGCTGAAATACTGAGCGCGACCCAATTTATTCAATATTTCATTGATATTAGGGATCGGATAACGATCACTAATAGTTTTATCGTTCAATTTTATGTAGTCTACTACAAGATGCCATTTTTGACGCACCGAGGCATCTAGTTTCCTCTTTACAAGCCAGATAGGAGAGCTCCAAGGACTAGACGAAAATCTAATTATGCCCTTTTCCAGCATTTCGTCAATTTGTCGACCGACCTCTTCTTTAAGAGCGTACGGGTATCTATACTGCAACCTATGATCGTGATTAAATTCTCGGAAGGCTGGTATCTCCGCTTGAAATTGGATATTCTTTGTTCCAAATGAAGTCGAAAGTGATATAGTTGAATTAAATATACAATTAGGATAAAACCTTTCTGCTATGATAGGTTTTAAAATTGATTTAGTACATCCCGTATCTATCAATATTATTAAAGGAGGTTTAGCAATTACAATGTACGGTAAAGGATTATTAGAGGTTATATTCAATTCTATTAAGTTATTGGGTTCATTGAGGTATTTTCCCGAAAATTTTGAGAAAAATAATCTAAGTTATCTTTTTGATTGTTATCATCTTGTTCACTGAAATGTGAAACCGCATTCTCGTTTGCATTCGCCGGTGCTTAATCTATTGCATCCTAATCATTAGTGAATATTTCTTCAGCTATAAAGTTAGGTTTTTGACCGTTATTTTGGAAAAAATTATTTCTAGCTTTAGGCATGTTTGTAGTATTCATTCTTTTGTTATACATAGAAGGTACTATTGAATTAGTAGACATTGGTTCCGGCTTTGGAAGCAGATGTTGAGGTATTTGATTTGGTCTAAGAACGTTTCGTGACGGTGAATTTGTCGGATATTTTCTTGCTGGCACAGTTTGTAGTTGGATATTTATGGGTTGACTAGACCATTCGGGATTTTGTATATTTTGCTGAAATCTATTATTGTTGGGATTTGGAAAATATGAGGAATTTGGTCGATTAAAATTCATATTAGTTTGAGGTTGTGGCCGAAAATTATTATTTTGTACAAAATGTTTGCCTCTAAAATTGTTTTTATCTGAATTTTATTTAAATTCACTGGGCTGCGAATATATTCTTTCAAAATTTTCAAATTCGCTGACATACGCTATCGCATGTTCTAGCGATGCCGGTTGATTCAAGTGCATGTTATTTCCTTATGTACCTGTACAACCCGCAATAAAAGTATTTAGTGCTGTATTATCACAAAATTGCAAATGTATAATTTTTTGATTTTGACTGAGATTGTTATCATTGCTTATTCCTTGTACGATACTACTTCTTAATAATTGTAGCCTGTTTCCAAATTCCAACAAACTTTCATTCCTTTGTGGCCTAGTTCTAGTAAGTTCCTGAGTTAAACAGTCTAAATCTCTTTTATCTGAAAAGCATTGTATTAATGCGTCCTTTAATTTTTCCCAATTATTTAATTCTACCCTATTTCCAACCATCAACTGTGCTTTTCCGACAAGCTTACCCTGAGTGCATTCAAAAATATGCTGGTTTAATTCATTATCGTTGTGACCACTATAAGTTGCAATCAAATTACTGCAGAGCGAAATTAATTTATTTTAAGTATTTATATCGCCATCGTAAGGCTTTATGTTAGAAATTTTGGATTTAAATAATTCCCAATTAACGGGACGCGGTTCTTGTTGACCGACTGGCATTCTATTATTTATATCTGTTTTCTTGATACTAAGACTTTTGAAAGAATTAATTATTTGTTCAGGATCGATCATAAATTATTTTACAAAATTAAATTTTTCAAAATAAATTTTTGTCTTAACAATATCTTTCCCAAAGATCCACAGAAGGGCAAAAATAAGGAAAGGCAAAGAGGAAACTTGGCACTTACCTCGGTGGTTGTCTTGCTATTTTCTCCTCCGAGTTTCTGTCCACCCAAACGATGATTTCGGTCCACTTATCCACTGAAGGGCTGCCTAATGGACGATGTTTCCACTGATCCACTGAAGGGACGTAAAGTTCGTTACGATACGCGTTACGACGTTGAAACGTCAAAGTTCCACTAACCGAACTTAAGCGATCAAAAGTCAATATTTCACTTTTTCGGAGACCCACGCGTATCCTACTGACTGCGCGTATTTCGGAAACGAAAATGCTTTTTTAAAAAATATTTTATTTAAAATAACTACAACATATGTCTTTCTACTTGAGTGGTTAAACAGAATCTAAAGAAACTAAATACAATCTAACATGCCTTCTAACAAGATAACGTAATTCTAGAAAAGATATAATTGTGCAACGGTAGACAAAATGTGGCCTCGTAACTAGATTTTATTGTTTAAAATAAAAAAAATTAGTCATAATATATAAATTATTTATTGAGTCATTAATAAGATATGGAATTTTGGTTTGGGGATGTTCATATGATAAAACATTACACACATTAAATATAATACAAAAGAAAATACTAAAAATCATCTATGGTAAGAATAAAATGTATCCAACAGAACTGCTGTTTACAAATGATACTTACAATATCAGAACCATCAACATGTCAACAATATGCAGTTACATATACATGCTCGAATTTCTCTACAAAACATTGTAAATCATCAATCATCAAGAAATAAAGTAAATAAAAAAAATTAGTATTCCGGTAAGTTACAGAAACATTAACCTAAATTTTTTTAATTATTTAACACCGAAAATTTATAATATGCTACTAGAAAAAATAAATAGAATATTAAAAAACAAATTGTAATACATATATCTTTAACAACTATAATTTGTTTAAAGAATTATTTAAATAAACTAAAGAACGCTACAGTCTTCTGTATATAGAAATAATTTTAATCATTGTAATAGGGCTTTAAGAGTCTTGAGATAATTTTAAAATTACATATAAATAAATGTACGAATTCTTAATAAGACACATACAGATGCATCTAGCATCTAGGTGTCTCCAAGAAAAGGTAACTTAAGATAATATTAATTGGTTGTAACATAATTATGTAACTATTTTTGTATTTTATAAAATAAATAAATAAGGAGTGCTGTATCGTCTGCAAATGTGGCCATTTTTACATCTTCCAGTTGTGAAATATCGCTGATGTACAATTAATAGAGGATGGGATCTAAAACACTACCTTGAGGTACACCTGAATTTATTTCTTTTACGCCAACATACGCATTCCTGTTTAATTATGAAAAATCTGTCTGTGATATATGGATGTCAAAATCTCTACGTATTGTTTCGGTAGTATTCTATTAAGTTTATGTACTAGACCTGCATGTCACACCATGTCTGTGAAAAATGTTTTCCTTAAAGGGCTCATTCAATTACATCAGTAATGCGATGCATCTGATCAATGGTTGAATGGTTCTGTCTAAAACCGAATTGATGGTATGGGATTATATTGCTGTTTTCTATTAATGGTTTTTCTCTTGAGAAGCAACTTTTCGAAGAGTTTAGAGATAATTGGAAGTAGGAAAATAGGCCTGTAGGATATAATATCTCCTGGAGGTTTGCTTGGCTTCGGCAACATGATCACTTTCGCAACTTTCCAGCTCGCAGAAATATGTGTCAGTTAAAAGGCTGCATTGAAGAGGTATGTGCGCATTACTATACCTTTTCTAGGAAACTGTTTTAGCATTTTACCCGTAATCAAATCAAATCCTAGTGCTTTTTACTTAACATTAGGATGACGGCTCAATGATCTGAGTTGATATAGACATTTTGTGGTAAAACTTTTCTTGAAAAGAATAAATCTAGCAGAGCCCGTATTTTGATAGTGTCTATTGACCAATATGTTTGCCAGTGTGTTGCTTTACTTAAGGAATAATAATAGCTTTCTATTTCACTCCTATTTCTTAGTCAAACTAGATTCTCAATCAACATGCTTGGCAAAAAAATCATCACCCAAAATAAATTATCTCTACGATGTTGTAGGAGTATTTTATTGTCTTTTTTAGATTATATTTGGGTGGACAGTATACTGCACCAACCCTTATATTTTAGTTGTAAGAATCATAGTGAGCCGTTGCAAATTTCATTCTTCATGGTGATGATAGATTCCTCATCAGTTACCGAACACCTCCCTTAGCTTGATTATCCGGATGGACAGTATTGTTCACCTTATATCTTCTAATCCGTAAGTAAGATGTGTTTCTGATACAAGATATACATCTATATGTTGTGAATTTAGAAAAACCTTCAGTTCCTTTTTTTATCAGAATGTCATTAGTATTCCATGTAGCAATACGTAAATCTTGCTGATTCATGGCTTAATTTATCTTGGAAATAGCGCTAGTATATCTGACCTCCAATCTGTCAAGTCTATCATTGACTTTTTAACCGACTTCAAAAAAGGAGGAGGTTCTCAATTCGTCGGTATATATTTTTTTATGTTCAACGATAATTCTTTAATACGGTGTCCGATTTCAGGGGTGGTCCCATATAAATTTGGTCAAAATCTAATAACTGGGTCTATGAGAAAATCATTAAACTTTTAATTTTTTATGTATGTTTAGCGTAGCGATAATTCTTGATCACCTTGTCCGATTTCTATGATTCTTTTGTTGTTAGTAAGAGGGTACCTCAACGGTGGTCTCATATGAATTTGGTTAAGATGTGGTGATGGCATCTGCACGATTTTAATGTCGGTTTTGTAAAATTACTTTTAATACTTGTTCAAGCATCATATTTTGCAGTGCATGCAACATTGATGTATCCGACTTGGAGGCAGAAGCATTAGGTTGTTCTTGCTCATTGTTAGTCATTTGTATCTATGAAATACTATTTCTTACAATATTGGGAATGTATTTCTTTGGTTGCGTAGCCAATTTTTAAGTTTCAATGGCATTTTATGTTCTCTTTTGTAGTTTCTACGGCAATAATATAAGCTCTGTAACTACGAGATGAACCTTGGAGCAGTTGTTACATTTTGCTAAAGCATCGCTCGGACGTTCTTAAGTGGTTTCCAGCACACTTTACACAAGCAGAGATGCGTTTGCAGAATTTATATGTATGGCAAAATCTTTGGAAATTTTTTCATTGTGGAATGAGATTGCTATGCCACACTACTTCGATTTTACCCTTCATATGGTTGATAAACTGAATGATGTATGTTTTGTTTTTCTCATAATTTTGGAACGTTAACAATACAGTGGAAGAAGAGTATATTTCTCTTCATAATTTTTTTTTATTTTCTTGTTTTTTGTTAATTTTTCGATCTTGAATCCTCTATTTTCAATAGCAATATCCTCGGAATCACAGTTAGGGTGTACATTTCTCATTATGACTCGTCTAGGTCTAGTATTAGTAGCCTTATCTTCATACGTGCTAGTGATAAAAATCGAATCCAAAGGATTCAAAATTCCTGTATTCGACTAATATATGGTATCAGACGTGGTCAGAGGGTTTCATATCAACTTAAAAACTTAAAATGGCTAAACATGCACAACCGCCGCACATTTAGGTTTTCTTTTTAAAATTCTAAAACTCAAAACTCCTTATTTACAACAAAAAATTAAATTTCGAACCGATGTCCACAATATCAATATAAGACGCAAAAATAAGCTTACCATACTTTTACATCGTAAACAAATTTTCAAACGAATATATTCCTATAGTGTCGCTAAAGTTATTAATAGTTTAATTGAATGAAACCTATTTCATGTTTCTTTTACACCCTACACATTCAAAACAAATTATAAAAAATACCTTCTTCCATTAAATTAATTAATTTCGCTCATTTGTTTAGTTATTTACTTTTTCTTTTTGTTTCCTATAAAAACTTTATAATATATAACTAATATTATGAAGGTTAATAATAAATTGTTTTTTTTTTTTTTTTTGATTAGATGTATTACGATCTCTATAATACTGTTAATTTTACTTTGTTTTCTTCTCGATGTTTTTGCTCTTATAGCATTTTCCACCTATTAAAGACTTGTAAATTAATAAGCTCTATAGTACATGTGCTTTTAGGTACATGTTATTTCTTTATTTATTTTTATTTTTCTGGTTTTAGCGGAAGAACAGACAGTACGGTCCTCCTGACCTTGAGCTAAATTGCTACTTACTCTGTACTTTTTTTTTGTAATATTATTAAAATTGTAATTATTTTGTATGTATTGAGTGATAAACGTATTTATTATTATTATTTTTTTTTTTTAATATGGTGTCATCGGCGTCGACTACTACGGCCATTAGCCTCGTGTTCTGTGTAGGCTTTGTTACTGTTTCTTAGCAACACTTTAGGAACAGCACTGTTAATTAGAACCCAACAGTGAATGGTCGAGTGGTGAATCCTACCTATGCATTAGAATTAATATTTAATTTTTTTTAATTAAATAAAAATTCCTGCCACCTGTGGGATTCGATCCTGAGACCTTCCGATCTCAGAATCATGACTCTAACCACTGAGCCACTGAGCCAACTAACCCCCCATTTATTATTATTATTATTATTATTATTATTATTATTATTATTATTATTATTATTATTATTATTATTATTATTATTATTATTATTAATATTATTATTTATTATTATTATTATTATTATTATTATTATTATTATTATTATTATTATTATTATTATTATTATTATTATTATTATTATTATTATTATTATTATTATTATTTATTATTATTATTATTATTATTATTATTTATTATTATTATTATTATTATTATTATTATTATTATTATTATTATTATTATTATTATTATTATTATTATTATTATTATTATTATTATTATTATTATTATTATTATTATTATTATTATTATTATTATTATTATTATTATTATTATTATTATTATTATTATTATTATTATTATTATTATTATTATTATTATTATTATTATTATTATTATTATTATTATTATTATTATTATTATTATTATTATTATTATTATTATTATTATTATTATTATTATTATTATTATTATTATTATTATTATTATTATTATTATTATTATTATTATTATTATTATTATTATTATTATTATTATTATTATTATTATTATTATTATTATTATTATTATTATTATTATTATTATTATTATTATTATTATTATTATTATTATTATTATTATTATTATTATTATTATTATTATTATTATTATTATTATTATTATTATTATTATTATTATTATTATTATTATTATTATTATTATTATTATTATTATTATTATTATTATTATTATTATTATTATTATTATTATTATTATTATTATTATTATTATTATTATTATTATTATTATTATTATTATTATTATTATTATTATTATTATTATTATTATTATTATTATTATTATTATTATTATTATTATTATTATTATTATTATTATTATTATTATTATTATTATTATTATTATTATTATTATTATTATTATTATTATTATTATTATTATTATTATTATTATTATTATTATTATTATTATTATTATTATTATTATTATTATTATTATTATTATTATTATTATTATTATTAATTATTATTATTATTATTATTATTATTATTATTATTATTATTATTATTATTATTATTATTATTATTATTATTATTATTATTATTATTATTATTATTATTATTATTATTATTATTATTATTATTATTATTATTATTATTATTATTATTATTATTATTATTATTATTATTATTATTATTATTATTATTATTATTATTATTATTATTATTATTATTATTATTATTATTATTATTATTATTATTATTATTATTATTATTATTATTATTATTATTATTATTATTATTATTATTATTATTATTATTATTATTATTATTATTATTATTATTATTATTATTATTATTATTATTATTATTATTATTATTATTATTATTATTATTATTATTATTATTATTATTATTATTATTATTATTATTATTATTATTATTATTATTATTATTATTATTATTATTATTATTATTATTATTATTATTATTATTATTATTATTATTATTATTATTATTATTATTATTATTATTATTATTATTATTATTATTATTATTATTATTATTATTATTATTATTATTATTATTATTATTATTATTATTATTATTATTATTATTATTATTATTATTATTATTATTATTTATTCCATCGATGAATACTATAATTTTAACCTATAATATTTATAGTTTTAATGTGTCTTTTTGTTATTCTTTTATTTTATTCACAGACGAAATATGTCGTTCTTGTATTGTACCTCGTAAATATTTTTAAATTTTATTGTATTACTTGTATTTTATCTCTTTGTATTTTTTTCACTGCACCTTTTATCATTTTACCATTTTATCATTTTAGTATCCATAGTTATAAGGACTTCAAATGTACATTCTTGTATGTAATAGGGGTCAATAAACGAATCTATCTATCTATCTATTATTATTATTATTATTATTATTATTATTATTATTATTATTATTATTATTATTATTATTATTATTATTATTATTATTATTATTATTATTATTATTATTATTATTATTATTATTATTATTATTATTATTATTATTATTATTATTATTATTATTATTATTATTATTATTATTATTATTATTATTATTATTATTATTAATATTATTATTATTATTATTATTATTATTATTATTATTCTATATTTATAATCTTGTTCAATTCCTTATTTTCAACACCAGAACTAGCATTGACTTTAATTTTGTTATCTAACATGTTGGTTGTGCAGTTGAGTACGGCGTTACAACGTGGTCGGGCCGTATAAACTGATAACATTGATAATATTTGTTTCCTGCTCGCACTAATGCTAACTCTCTGAAATTTTTACATGGACTTGTGCAAAGGGTATTGGAAAACGTCCAGCGGCCGATACTGTATATGAATCTAAATATATATAAAAAATTAACAGGGCCTTGTACTGAAATCCATTTTAAATATTGAAAATTTAATAATTAAGTTTTTCCTTCTATGGTAATGGAGCCCGAGAATCTATTACAAAAATGTTACTGGTTAGTATACATGATGAAGACATAATAATTATTGAGGAAACATATTTTGGTAGTATTTATTATTTTGTTTGTAATAAAAATAAACTTAGGGGTAGTAAAAAGTATTTTTTAATCGCCATTTTGTGTCATCAATATAAGACGCTTACATATATGTAGAGACAAAACTGAACTCTGGACCACCTAAGTAGAACCCTAAAGACCTCTTCGGTTTGTTCGATGTTCGGTATGGTTTTGTTATACAGGTTATTCAAACAATTAAATTTGTCATGGTATTTTTTTCCTAAAATTTTTAATCGACATAAGTTTTCTATTTCTTATGTTTTATTGTTAGGAACCGTTAGTTTATTTGTTCTAGCTTGTCATTATATCATTGTTGAATAATTGTTTATTATTTTTTTCAAGTGTTTTTTAACTTGGCCTACCTTGTTGCGATATTGTAAGATAGTTTTATTTGCCATTTTTGTTTCTACTGTAAAAATATATTTTTGGATATATTAAAAATAGGTGGCGCCTTTTGTTCAAGTTCAGATCCCTCATAAAACATTCAAAGAAATATACTGAGAATTTACTCATACTAACATATTGAAGTCCAGTCTTATGCTCCATGGTGGCATGCCATTTTCAAACACTACAGAGAACGCAAATCAGTAGTTATTAAACAATATAACTTAGAATTGACTGAGAAATTATATCCTAAACACAGTCAAAAATGATGTAAGAAAAATAGTAGTAGGCAATAGCCAACATAGGAGGCATGGATGCCTTCACAAGAACCTAAAATTATACAAAATATAGCATTTAACGTTCAATTTCTAGCAATTTTCGGTCAGTTATCTTTTCTTTGATTTGTTAGTAATTGAGGGTGGAAAATACATACTTTTCACGCTCTTCTTCTAGGTATAAGGTAAAGTAAGTTATATTAGAGAATAACTTTCTATCTTTTTAATGTTTTGTAATAATTCTATTAGGTATGGATACTCGTGTGAATATAAATAAAAAATAAAACACTAGTTACTTACATTTATATATTTATGTACAAGATTTACATTCCTTTGTTTACCCACAAATAAACTGTACTTATTACTGTCCTCTCTTTTCCGGGAATGATAGCACAATATGTACATTAACTTTATACAAAATTAACGATGAACACTTCATTTGTTGACGATAAGTATAACTTTATTGGTCCAGGATTAATAAATCCACTTAATAACTGTTAATAATTACAGAGAAGGGCGACAAAAATTAACTAAAAACCTAACAAAAAAAATCATACGAATATTCAATATCACATTTCTACACAAGTAAAAAAACATTAATAACCGAAGCATAATTTTTTATTTTGATTTAAAAACTATTTCAGGACCCTTTCAAACGTTGAATAATATCCTCGTTCTCATGAAGCATGTGTACCACAGAGCTGTATTCCAGGCCCTACTAATTGAACGACTATCTAATATTTTACATTAGTTTATTATTATGACTGACTGACTAATTCAGAAAAAATTCAACGATAGCCATTTATTTCATAAAAATAATGAAAATATATTGGAAAAAAGGCCGAACAGGCAGTTAAAATGTAAAATATTAAAATGGTACGTTTCGAAAATACTATAAAATTTTCATATTTATTAAATAAATAGAACTGTTTTCTTTTTAGTTTTAACTGGCGATGAATAGATATTTTTTTCTATTCCCTTTCATCTAAAAACGTTTATCTACTCACTCATCTCAAATATTCTTTTAAAAATAGCCCTTCTAGTACAATAAAAATGGTTACCTTTTCAGAAAAAAGCCTTTCATGCGATTTTGTTTTTTGGGTTTATTGTTTTTTTGGCAGAGAGTAGAGACAACACTGTTTAATTGGCATAAATATATTGCGTAAAGTATGGAATAATATTCGGAAAACATAAATTAAAAAGGTGTTTTTTCAATTCATCACAGCACAGCGCATTTGATTTTATTTTCCAAAATATTACCAAATACATATAAATATTTCATCAACTTTTTTTAATTTGAATGTACAAGATACAACATTATTGGTATTATAAAAGTTTAATAAATGCTGGGGCGGAATAATGTTTGAAATTGAGTTGACTAACTAAAAGATTATTAATATTGTTAGAATTTTTTAGATTTCTGGAAATAACTTGAGTTTATTTTTTGACAAAATTATTAAATTTTAAAGTATGCCATAATTCTCTATTAGTAAACTAATAAATTAAGTTTTTTTCTTTATACAGCTTAGTTTGTGTAATTTCTAAGATTTTTATAAAATTGTAATGGGTCATCCGATTTTATAAGGTTATATTTTTTCAGTATCTTCTCCCTATAATTTTTCAGTGCTTATGCCAATAAAATTACTGACTGTACAACTTTTTGTATAATTGTACAATAAGAAACAATACTGCCTGCTACGCTTTGTATCGAAAACAGCAGATAATAAAAATGTTTGGTAGAAAAAGCAAAAAAAAATAAGTTTATTAAACTTTGCCGCCCTCTACTTTTTGCAGCTGTCGTCGCAGTTTCCTATAAGACAAATTATAGAAAATGTTGTTATCTAAAACTTCTATATGAAACAGTTTTTTTAAACCTACTATTTTTGAGAAAAATTATATCATAAAATTTTAAACATTTGGATTTAGCTTCTATATGGTCACCTAATGATTCATAAATTACATTAAGGCGAAAAATTTTTTTTCTGAAAACACCGTTTTCGAGTACTGCTTCTAATACAGCAAAAATCTAACTCTGCTTTGTAGTGGCAACAGTGGTAGTAGGCGTAACCTTAAAACATTGAAGTAAAAATGCCGTATAAATCAAGAAAGCCACAATAATGGCCATGAGAGCGTACATAAAAAGATTCAATTCGGGTTGACGGAATCTGTTCTTCTTCAACCATTCTAAAACGTCCGCATCGGAATGTAAGTCTCCCCTGAATATGCTCGGGAAGCGTCTTCGGAAGTATACGATGGCCGGAAGATTAGTCACTCCCCATTTTCTGGCGTATCTTGCATCCGCCATCTTGACGAATGTTATGTCGAAGTTGTCTGTTTCGCTGTCGATGTTTTCCAGCTTCTCCAAGATGATTTTGCTTTCGTCCGAACTTATTTCATCTGGAAAAAGTGTTAAAATAATGTTCAATTATCTTCTGCTCTACCAAAATCAGATAGTTATTGACTTATGTTAACTAATGGCGTAAAGAAGGGCCTTTAGAGTTATCAGTAAGTTCTAAATGTAGAACCATAAAGGTACCTACTGAAGTAAATGCTTCACAAAAATAGATGCTATATATTCACCTTAATAAAATAAAATAAAGCTTTCCGCTAATCGAAATTTTTTAAAAATATATTTTTTTTAATTTTGACATATAAAGTAACATTTTTTGTAATAGTAGCAAGTGTCAAAATAATCTACTTTACGCAATCAGTTGCATAATGTTGAACATTATGAAACTGGTTTCGAAAAATTCAATATGTCACTAGTTGCGAAAAGAAAATAGAAATATATTTTTTTTAATTTTAAAATAAATAATATAAATTATTACACAGAGCAACAAAAAAATATTTTTTTTTGGGCCTGGGATTTTAGAGCTGATTTTAACTATATTTGGGACGCTAAATCTGTACATGCAATCCGTTTTTCTCTATCAGCTCTACTTTTTTAGATACATCAACTTATCTACCAATGTGGTTTTTATTCAGTATATTCATTTATGAGAGTTCTAAAATTATTATATATTCATTAATGTAGGTACAATGGTTTTACTGTCAGTCTGTAATTGAGTAAATTCCAGGTAAATCTATAAATAGTGGAACCATTGCCTCTCAGGTACATGAACTGACCCTTTTAATCCCCTAACTCGGGTAAGTCTCGTCGGTTTGTGCGTTCTTACTAATGAGAGTAGATCGAATTCGGCGTGTTATTTTATGTTAAGAAAAGAGTGTTTTTGTGTTATTGAACAGAATTAAAATGAGTTCAGGTTCCAGTTCAAGAAGAAGTTGTGTAAATCAACCTGATGTGTTTTGCTATATATGCGGAGAATACATGTTTCAACAAATCAGACAAACTATTACTGACTTTGTAAAGCGAGCGTACCTTGGATATTTTGGAGTTAACCTTGGTGATCAGGACAAAAAGTGGGCCCCGCATCTCGTATGTAAAACTTGTACAGAGTATTTACGGCAGTGGACTACCGGGAAAAGAAAATGTCTAAAATTCGGCGTACCAATGGTTTGGAGAGAACCAAAAAACCACTTCAATGATTGTTATTTCTGTTTAGTAAATACTAAAGGAATCAATCGAAATAACCGCAGTAAGTGGACTTATCCCAATGTAGACTCGGCAATACGCCCTATCCTGCACTCAGATGAAATACCGATTCCAACATTTCATCAGCTACTAGATATTTCTGATGACGAATATTTTTACTCTGATCGCTGTTCTGATGCTAATAAAAGTTCTGATGTTAATGAAACTAACAGTGATTATGAGGAGACGTCATCAGTTCCTCAACGCTTCAATCAAAATGAATTAAATGATCTCACCAGGGATCTCAATTTATCGAAAAAAGCTTCTGAAGTACTGGCTTCTCGGTTGAACGACAAAAATTTATTGGAACAAGGAACCAAAATTACCTTTTATCGTACAAGAGAAAAGTATCTGCTACCTTTCTTTTCTCAAGAAGACAATCTTGTATTTTGTCACGAAATTAATGGACTCATGAAAGAAATGGGACTTTCTGAATATATTCCAGATGATGGCGCCTATTTATTGACAGTTCAAAATGAAGTTTAAAATATGTCCTTCTACATAATGGGAATAAATATGGTTCAATACCACTAGCTCACTCAACGAAACTGAAAGAGGAATATAATACCGTAGCTTTGATCTTTTTTTTTTTTTCGATTTATGGCATAGGTGTATAAACCTAATATGCCAGTCTCAGTTTTGTGTTTTAAATTCTTAATCGTGTGTGTGTTCTGTGTAGGCTTTGTTACTGTTTCCCAGCGCCACTTCAGGAACAGCACTGTTAATTAGAACCCAACAGTGAATGGTCGAGTGGGGAATCCTACCAAGGCATCGGAATTAATTTTAAATAATTAAATGAAATAAAAAAATCCCGGCCAATGGTGGGATTCGAACCTGGGACCCTGGATCCACAGGCAGAGACTCTACCACTGAACCACCCACCCCCTTAGCTTTGGTCTTGCAGAAGATAAAGTATCACGAACATCAATGGATGATTTGTGTAGACTTAAAAATGGTAAACTTTCTTCTTGGGCAGCAAAGTGGTTACACGAAATATCCGTGTTTTTTGTGCCTCTGGGATAGTAGGGACAAAACACACCACTGGGTTAGAAAATATTGGCCTCAAAGAGAAAACATGGACGTTGGGGAAAAGAATGTCATGTCAATTTGTAAAGGCTCTTGATAAGAATGGGTCATGTTTTGCATATGTAGGGGTAAAAATGCATCAGTTGAGCACAGAAAAACTCAAAGCAGGGATATTTGACGGCCCACAAATAAGACAATTTATTAAGGATCCTGCCTTCATAAATTCAATGAATCAAGTTGAACGAGAAGCTTGGACATCATTTTTGCAGTTGTAGAAAATTTTCTAGGCAAACATAAAGCTCAAAACTATGTTGAAATGGTTAACAAGATGCTTAATAGTTTCAAATCCATAGGGTGCAATATGAGTATTAAAATACACTATTTACAGAACCACTTAGATCGTTTTGCAGAAAATTTAAGAGACATGAGTGAGGAACAAGGTGAAAGATTTCACCAAGATATTAAAGTTATGGAGGACCGCTACCAAGGAAGATGGGACATGCAAATGATGGCAGATTACTGCTGGAGTTTAAAAAGGGACTGTTTAAAAAACCTTCAATAATGTCGCGGAAAAGAAGCTTTCGAAGTGTTCGAGTGACTATTTGATTTCTTCAATGTTTTTTTTTTTTTTTTTTTTGTTTATAAGTACGACATAATATTGTATTTTGTATAACTAAAATAAAAATTTCATTTACTACACTTACGGATTTGAGTTAAAATAATGTAACTTATATATCTCTAAAATTGTATGTCTTAAAAATTTGAGCTCCTAGGTAAAAATGAATACGTTATTTGAATTTAGGACATCAAATTGATATAGCTCAAAAAACCTCGGCACCGAAATAGCTGTTCCCCTGTGATTATTGACAGTATATACCATAGAAGCGCAGGTTAACTTATAAAAACAGAATTTGGTTAGACTTACAACCTAGTATTAATGTTGTTTTGGTCCTTACTTTCTATTCCTAATCAGCACAAAATATTTAAAACACAATACACGACTTTTTTTGAAAACTAAATAACTTTAATTAATATAGCTAATTTTCTAGTTATCAATTAAATAATGCATATGCAACTAACAATACAAGAATATTGCGAAGAATCAGTAATGTTTTACTAAAACACAATTTTATAAATAATCTAGTCAAAATTTTAAAAAATACTGTATGTAACACGTTACGAAATGCCGTTTTATGTAATTTGTTCACGTTGATCTTGCTCTGATCGTTACGCAAATATTCACTCGTTACATAAAATAAGGCATTTCGTAACTGGTTTCATAAATAGCTATTATAAAAAATACAAAAAATTGTTTTTTATTTTTGTAGATATTAAAAAAGTATTCTGGGAAAATTTGGGTAATATTCTGTCTCGAACTCATTGTAGGGAAAGATTTGTCTTTCAAACAATTCACCACTTATAGCTAAACTGAATACAACTTGATTCCATAAAATTGTTGAATAAACATCAATCAACAGTACCTACTTACTGTAGTAATAGAGTATTATTAAAAATTTTAAATTTAAAAATTATAAAAAAAAAACTATTTAATACGCCATAGCCAAGTACAAGTTATGGAAGCAATTAATGGAGCAGTGGACCATGATTAGTTTCAGAAATTTTAAAATAATTTATAGAAGCAGGACATGTCTACAGTAAATGGTCTGTATGACGCAAAGCCGATTAGAGTATGATTATAATACCCAAGATTATGAAAAATTGTAGCTTTACTCACAGAAAAATACAGTAACATATTCATTCTCTTCCAGCAGCTTCTCCAACATTTTTTTATTGACCTCTTCAATTTCATTTTTAATTTCAAACACATCCTGTGACGTTAACCACTCCAATACATTGTCAGATTGGCTGAGATCACCATCGTACACCATGGGCTTCTTCTTCCTGAAGTACATCAAAGCAGGGAGGGTGTGAAGACCTTGTTCAGCTGCAGCAGACGCGCTACATATCTTTACGAAATCTATACCGAACAAGTCAGCTTCGTTGTCGATTTCTTCTAAATTTTCTAGAATCATATCGCATTCTGGACAGTCTTCATCATCTAATTTAAAAAAATTGTTTTAGTGTTAATATTTAAACAGACCTATTATTGAACCGAGATATGATAACTGGATAAGTGCCGAAAAACAGCAATAGAAAAGTTGGTATGACTGATCAAGCAGATAGGTAACAATCAAAATTCATCTAATATTAATACTCAACAGCACCAACAAGAATTGTAAGTAATCTTAGACATAGAAAACAAAGACATAGTACGCCTAATGTCAGAGACTCACTTTATTAATGGGTCCTTTATTATATTCAATGAATATAGGTAATGTTTACTATACCATTTACATCCAAACTGCAGCCAGAGCAGTAGTAGAGTCATAATTAAAGAAACAATTAAGCATTACCGTATTTATTGAACAACGGCAGGTTATTTGCAGCAGTTGCTTAACTGGCAATTGTGAAAATTAATTGTTAAATAACCTACAAAATTTAACTGGCAAAGACCTTAATCATACGAATCAATAAACAATGAAATAATCCACCACCTTGGTTATAATAGCCGTGGTGTTAAATTATAGACCTAAAAGTATCTAAAAGTAATGAAACAATTTGGGTACTTACAAAAGAACACCGCCAAAAAAGGTGACGTACTTAAGAGCCTGGTCAACATCTTCTCATTGACAGATTCTATCTGATCCTCTAGCTCTCTGTTATCGTCATCAGTCAACCATTCCAGAACGGATTGCTCGTTCTGAAGATCACCTTCAAAGAGAAGAGGATTTCCATTCCTAAAATAAACCAACGCTGGGAAAGTTTTGATGCTGTATCTCTTGGCAAGTTGAGGATCTTGGATTCTAACGAGATGAATACCGTAAACATCGCATTCATCGTCTATTTGTTCCAGCTCTTCTAGGATTTCTTCGCAAATGTGACAATTGAGTTTATAAAAGTAGACTGCTAGATATTGAGTTTCTTCTACCATTTTTTCTAACATTACCTATCAATCAAACACATTATTAGTTAGTGGTGTACTATTTTAATTTATTTCATTTAAAATTTTTGAAACCATACCCTTGTTATGAGCTCTATTCTATCCTCAGTCCTTTGTTGGATCAACCATTGAAGCACTTCTTCTTCCTCTTCCAGATCTCCTTCGAACACTCCACCTATACCATTTTCAAAGTACATCAACACTGGATAATCTGTGGCTCCGTATTGTTCAGCAATTCTCAAGTCTTGTGTTTTAACAAATTTGATACCATGCCGCTCACAGTCATCATCAATGTTTTCTAATTCTTCTAATATTTGAACGCATTGTTCGCATTCGTCACTGTCTAAAGAAAAAAACCGAAGTAAATAAGTAAATGATAGATGTTTGGAATATTGACACGTTTTGGAGATATAAGATGTAATGTGAAACACAACAAATCAAGAACTCAGTAGGAGGAATGTAAATATAGTCACCGATTTTGGCATGTACCTGGAACAATGTGCTACATTCTTTCCTATTTTTATCTTTTTCATATACAATCGCATTCTACTTCCATGCGCGAACAAGAAATATATGGGTCTTAATAAACGATTTTCTTTTACTTCTGTCATGATTGCTTTAAGTAATTGTCCAGTGAAGTACTCTCAAGTTTTAAAAATGTATTTTGTCAATGTGATCAAGACGTAAAATAAATAAAAACAAGAAATTATCCAAGCAATGGGCCAAAAATTAATGCGAGTTACCATTTTTCTTCAAAAAACAACTAGTCCTTTGGGTAATACCTCAACAGGCATTTAATTATATCTAAAAATATAAAGAACATTATTTTCAATACTCCAATTTTCATTTTGTTTATTAAGGAAAACGTCATTGGAAATAATTCAATTCCTGTTGAGGTATTAGCAAAAGAAATATTATTAGTATGCCTTAAATAATTTTTTGTCTTTATTTATTTGTAGTGATGGCGTACATGCCATAATCAGTGAAATGGCCTATAACTAATGTTTTTCATAGTTACCTGTTGCAGGAATTTTACGTGGTCCCATAAGGTTATTAATGTATTAGACAAGGAAGGCAGATGATTGCTATTTCTTTAAATTATCAAAGATATTTGTGATCATGGGATAAAGGAAGAACAATTGAACGAATTTAATGAAGTTGATGCGAAAACTTTATTACATTGACAATATTACCCAGTACTAGATCCTCTTAAATATGTGAATTTTGAGAGGTACTGAGAATTTAAAGAATAAGAAACTTACTGTAGAAAGTAATATTAGTATAGATGCTATATTAAAGTATTTTAATTAAAGAAAAAATAAACCAAACAATTATAGACAGATAAAGGGCATACAGACACAAGGTTAGTTTTCCACTTGCCACTATTTCGAGACTATTGACATAAATAATAAATTTAATACTCTTGAGAATAATAGCCCTTTATGTAATATATTAAAAACAGTATGGAACTATAAAATTCCATAATACTTGATAATTAATAAGCCTAAGAAGGCTCCACAAGCTAATAAGTTGATTGGTGTGTACTGTTTTTAGACCCATTAGATGTAATATTGTATTTGTGTATTTTGTGTTGTAACTTATATAACTAGTTAAAAAATTATATAAAGGGAAATGATGTAATAAAAATTTTACGAGTCTTAATTCGATTAGGTGGTTTTAATTTTACATGCGACGAAGAGCTTCACAAGTAATTTTACATCAACAATATCAACATGCTGTATCAAAGGCACATTGAAAAAGCTCCTAACGATTCTTAAGATGACAAACAAAGAAATAGTTTATTTTTTAAGAAATCAGGTCATAAATGAAGAGACGAAAAGGTTAGATAAGAGATGAAACATGCAGAAAAACAAATGATCTTAGAATTAGTAGATATTTCTGATTAAGATGGAATTGCAGAGACAATGTGGTGCAAAATGCTTATATATAAATTAAAAGTAATAAACGCCAATGGTAGTAAAATGAAAGGAAAAATGATGGAAAGAAAAACTTTCTATTTGAAACTTTTTGCCTACACTTCTTGATAGACAGCTATCAATAATTAGGATAATAATTAAAATAATCCTATTTACAAATTAAAGCTAAAAGACTTTAACTTGGTAGGTATGTAAAAGAGATTTTAAAGGAAAATAACGAAAAAGTTTACTTAGGTAACGAAACAAAATTAAACATTAAATTGTAAGTCAGTTAATTAATTAGAATGTAAAATTACTTGTCAAATATAATAACAGAGTAGCAAGGACAGCAAGGTATATTTACAAGTATATCAAATAATACATTGTTTTACCGACAATTTATAATTCATACAAATATTGAAACTAGTGTAAATTATTCCACGATTGCGTCATAGATCTATATTAAAATACCTTTATTTGCGTGTGTAATTTAATAAGCTGTCATATTATCATATACAGTGCGGATGTTAGGTCTTACTCCTCTGCCACTCACCCTGTGTAATCAGCTATTTAAAACAAACGTGAGAATCGCTTGGGTAATTTTACAGTTTAAGAACGTATGTACAATTTTTCAGGTATAGAAGTTTCAATTCTAAGCTGTTTCCCAAATTATGAAAATACTAAAGAATATTTTTAAAAAATATAAAAAACAAATTAAAGAATATGTTAAAACTGTAAAAATAAGTCAGCTTTTTTTCTATATAAATCATGTAATTTTCAAGGTAATAAACCGAAAACCGATTTCAAAAAGGTCTATTAGTTTATTTAGGAAATGGAAAGAGAAAAAACGCTTTTTAATCGAGATAAAATTCTTTACCGACTTCGCTGTTTCTCTTCCAAGAGGAAGACCGGTTAACCATAAATGGGTTAAGGTATTTTGTACCGTTTTAACAAGTGCAAGTTAATACACTCGAATTGAAAAATTTGTGATTGTGAAAAAATTTAAGAAAGATTTTGTAGAATATAAATATTTTTATAAAAATTAGTAAACTTTGCTAAATATAATATACAATATTCTAAAAGGTAAACCAATTTATGTGATTATACAAAATGTTTATTTTTTTTATAATATGGATTGCCCTCTAAATATATATACAGTGTCTCGCAAAGAGCCTGCTTCATATGGAACACTTTTTCTTGTTATATTTTTCAGAATATGTTAGGTATTCCTGTTAAAACTTGGTGTTTAATTTTAAACCTGAAACTTTATTTATTTTGAAAATTCTGTACCATAAATTTAAATTTGGCTGCGCAGTGAACTAGGTGAACTAGGTGTATTTTTACATATAAAGCTAATTTAAAAAAATGTATATATAAGCGTAGACGGTGTGACAATTTAAAAACTTACAATGGGCTATACCCTCCAAAGTGTGTAGTCTGTATTCTCATCTTTTCCTAACATTGAACAAATGTATTTATAACAGTTTATAACCAGGTCCTAATTCAGCTTTGTTTTCTTTTTTTGAACCGTCGGTGTAGTTATGAATCCTAACTGCCACTTCCGGCTTTTTTATTTGTTATGGCATATCTTTATATAGCTTACTGAAGATATATCTCGGTGAGATGGAGTCCATGTTCGCTAGTGATGCCGCGAGACGAGAGATTCTCGTCTCTCGTCTCGAACGAGACGACAGAGATATTTTCTCTCGAAAACAGATTCGAGACGAGACGAGACAAGAGAGTGTCATCTCTAGATGAAAATTTCTCGTTTCTCTCGAGCTCTCTTGGGTTCTCTTTGCTTATTTGAAATTTTCAATTGCTTATCGTAACTTAAAATTTAAACATATTAGATTTCGAGATAGTTAAACAATTAACTATAACACACCTATTCTATATATATTAAATGGTAAAAAATTATACTTGTGTTATTAGGATTTTATAAATAATAGTGATTTATAAGAAAAATATTTCTCATTCCATTTATTTAAAATTTATACAATAATTTCTTATATTTAATCCATTCTGCTTTTCTGAGGTTACTTTTGAAGATAAGTTGAAAATGTTAAAGCGTTTTTTCGAAAAACTGTCAAAGAAAAGGTAATACAAACGAATGTATTATATACAGTGAGGACGAAAATTGTACCCTCCTCTATTTTAACTTCTAAATGAAAAAGGATAATGACAAAACAAAAAAGAGGTAAAACTCAAGAGATATAGAGGGAGTTACTCTCTTTAAATTTTCTAATGGAAAGTAGGGTCATGTGATACCTCATTTGAAATATATTTTCTATATTTTTACGTTCATGTAAACAGATTTAGGTTTTTATGTTAAATAAATTCATAAAGTAGGTTAATTTTTTTTTTATTTACCGCTTCAACCTCAAAGAATCATTACCAGCGGTATAATACCTTATAAATGCTGTTTTTTACAATAGTATACAATGGATAATTAACATTTTGTCTAGTACAGAGTAAATGTCAGTATCTTTTATAAATTTAACTACTTTTTTACTGTTAGAGGGATTTAACACTGCACAAATAGCAATTTTTTGTAGCTGGTACTTTGTTCTTATACAGATATGTTCTGGGCCATTACTAATAAGTTACATTCTTGATAACTTTCGCATTAACAATTATTGTTTATTACTAAGGAAACACTTCTTGTATTTACTAAAATAAATAAATTAAGAATATCAAAGGTGATTTAAAAACCACTTGACGTATTAAATTTTTCATAACTTCTTGGCAAAAAAAAGCTTATTAAAAAATGTTCGTCTAACATTATTTAACATTTCTGGGATTATTGCGGCACACGAGGATTATCAAGAATGTAATTTTTTTAAAACAAAAAAAAAAACAAAAAATTAAAACTGTTTGCTTGGACGTAAATATAATTAAAATATCTTTCAAATGAGGTATTACATGACTTTACTTTCCATTAGAAAATTTAAAAATAGTAAGGCCCTCTATTTTACGTCTCAAGTAAAGTGCATCTCATTATAACAAAAATATCATATTGTTTCTCTAATTTCACATCGTTTTTGTTTTATGTCTCTATCTTCTTGCATTTTAAAAACATACTACAAATATGCTTTCATTTGACATCGCAGGATTGCATTAGAAAAATTGTAACTTCCAATTTAACCTCTTCCCCCCCCTCCTCAACTGACTTACAAGACAAAGTATTTTCGGTTTTAGTTAACGCCTAATCTGGGCCACTTATTACTTAAAATTTCACTTGTAAAACGACTGTGACAGTTGGACAGACAGAGAGACAAGTGTTTCTTATTGCCAAATTTGGGTACTAATGCGCAAATTACTTGAAAAATTCTTTGTTTTTGTCTTACAAATTTTACCGGTTTTTCACGTTTCGTCTTTTTCAAATTTAAATTTGATATTGTTTTATCACGAGAGAAACGAGACGAGACGAGAGGAAACGAGAGAAAGGTTCTCTCGAGCGAGAGAAGCGCATTCTCGTCAAGACGCGAGAACAGTTTTCTCTCGCCCTATGAGACAAGACGAGAGAGGCCACTCTCTCGTCTCGTCTTGTCTCGCGGCATCACTAATGTTCGCTTGAAACAGTGGAAGCGTATCGAGCAACCTTCTTAAGGTGAGTACAGCACCCCCTCATAATTTTCGGACAAGCATATCTCAAAAAGTGATTTTTTTTTAAAGTTAAAATTTTGGCAAAATAAATTAGGCAATAATATCTAGAATATGCTTATATTTTAAAGTTTTAATTATTTTCAGTTTCCAAGAAAAAAAATCAAAGGGCTTTAAATTTTGAAATATTATAATCAAAATAAATGCATTCCTCAACAGCAGTATTCTTAATATAATCCCCAAATTTAAGCTCTCAATCTTTTGTTAATGATTATTTAAAATTCGCCGAAATTAGTGGCTAAAACGCCTCGTTAAGTGCTGCTTTCTGGTGTAACGCGACTGTAACTATTGTATCGTACACTCTGAGTCATTATTCGTTTCTTGCAATGATTTACACCAGTTTACACCAGTTTAAACAAGAGATTAAGAGCTTAAATTTGGGGATTATATTAAGAATACTGCTATTGAGGAATGCATTTATTTTCATTATGATATACCAAAATTTAAAGCCCTTTGATTTTTTTTCTTGAAAACTGAAAATAATAAAAACTTTAAAATATAAGCATGTTCTAGATACTATTGCCTAATTTATTTTGCCAAAATTTTAACTTTTAAAAAAAATTACTTTTTGAGATATGCTTGTCCGAAAATTATAAGGGGGTGCTGTACTCACCTTAATGTAAATATCAAGAGGAGTGAGACTAAAAATAACTTTCATGATTCTGGTTGGTGTGGTTACAATGAGTTATTTTTATCAAATTCACACTGTACGTTTTTTAAATATCTAGTTGTCATGTCTAGTTTTTTGAAAAATGACAAGAAGAGAATGGAGAACATTTTGAGCAGTTTTTGGGATATTTTTTTTGTGGTTATACTTTATAAGTGTTTTATGATATCTATGTCTATTCAAAACATTTGAGGTGTTGGTTGTCACGTGAAGGGGATGAAAGGGGTGGCAGTTTTTAGACTTAAACATCTGCACTGTACAATATTACGAGTTAAATTATTTAACAATTATCTATAATTACATTTTCAAGAGTTGTATTCATTATATTAGAATTTTATTCTGTCGCAGTTTTATACAATTGTTTGTTATTAACTATATTGTAAAAAAAAATTACATAAAAGTAATTAATTAATAATAAAGTTATTTATTCACGCCAAATTATTCGATTTTTGTGGACCAATTATATAAAATTTCACAAATTAACGAGCATTTTCACTATTGAACCTAAATACCACCGTCATATCTAAGAAAATATTTTAAATTTAAATTATTTCTCTAGATTAATTTAATATTATCGAAAACGTATTATTTGAATAACGGTTTTTTGTCTAATATCGCTACTCTGTTCTACGACTACAGGGTCACTACTACCGTTATCTTTACTCTCTGTCTCTTCTTCTGAAACGTTTCTCAACTTCTGGGCCTTCTTAGATTGTTGCTGCTGAGCTCGTTCATTGCATATATCACATAGTGTCTTGTTCCCTAAATAAATGTTAGCATCACTCAAAAAACATTAAAAATTATAGAAATTATAATTGACTCTACCTACTTAAAAGTAAATTGGCTATAATATAATAACAGAAAGACTTAGAGGATTTAAATTTGTTTATGGATTAAATAACACTAGGAGATGACAATAAATGCAAATCATGTGACAAGACACTAAATTCTAATGGAATTTACTACTAACTTTTTTAACCCCTTGGAAAACAATGTCTCCAGAATCACTAGAGCTCAAGCGTAGTGTTTTCTACAGATATATGTTTGAATTAGGTACTTACAGAAATAGACAGCTAGAGCATCCTCATTATCTATAAGCGTTAGTAACTCGCTTCCATCATAAGCCTCTATAACATCCCCAGAAGGGTCCTTTTGCGTCAACAACCATTGTAAGATCTGTTGTTCATCAAAAAGATCTCCGGCGTATATAACCGGTTCTTTAGAGCCCAATTTAAAAAATAAGATGGCCGGTAGAGCAAATACTCCGAGCTCTTTCGCCATGTGTTTGTCTTCGATCTTTACAAAGTTGATACCAGCGCTGTCAGCTTCATCGTCGATGTGTTCAACCTCTGTAAGGACTCGCGGACATTGCTTGCAGTCGCTGCTGTCTAAAACATTTAACTTAAAAAACATTTAACAAAAACTTTGGTTAATAATAATATTGTTAGGGTCCTCTAACATTAATAATAATACTTAATTAAATTGAGGGAAAACAGAGGAAAATTAGAGGGAAAAACAAGCCTTTTATTCTACGCATGTCCAAATTAATAACGCTAATAGGTACAACTCACATAGGAACACTGCCACATAATCGGATCTCTGTCTGATTTTATCAAACATCTTTCTATTGACTCTTTCAATGTGATCCGTCAGTTCCATATTTTCTGGGTCGCTTAACCAATCCAAAATCTCTTCTTCGTCGTCGATATCTCCATCGTAATTTATCGGTTTCCCTTTTCGGAAATACGTTATTCCAGGTGGATCTCTGAAACCGTATTTCTTCGCCATCAGTCTGTCTTTCATTTTAACAATTTTGATGCCGTACTCGGAGGCTTCGTCATCGATTAGTTCAATGTGACGGAGGATTCTTGGACTGTCTGGATCTTCTTCTTTATCTGAAAATGGCAAATATTGACTTTTAAGCAAAATATATAATATAAATATCTAGGTCTGATCAACTTAACTGGCGAGGATATAGAAAATAAAATCAAGAGAACTAATCAAGTTGTCAGTATTCAGTTAAAGTATAGAGTAACCAAGGATTTTATTTAATGTGATTCGTTAAGATCATGGCTTTAATGCCACTTGCAGGTGCTTTTCCAGAATTTATTTATAACGTGGTATATAGAAGGGCTTGTAGTTTAATTGAAAGATGCAATGAATGGTCTACCTAAAATGAGGTTTCGCTGTTTATTAAAACATCGTATATTACAAACAAAGGCCAGGAAAATTGTAAATACCTGCGTTATTTTGCATAACATTTTTTTAGAACATAATGTGACACACCCAGAAAGGGAAGAAGCGGACGATAGTATAGATTTTTGGAATATTTAATAAAAATTAGTAAATGAGGGTTTTAATGCCTGGAAAAGACTTTATTGGTTTAAATCCACCTTAAAATTGTTTTAATTTTTGCTAGTTATTGAGTAATTTTGATAAATGCCAAAAATGCTTCAATGTTTCCGTTTTATACTTTATACTATTTTTGTGGAGATATCAAAAATCTAAAAGCATAATTTGTTTTTAAGTATGAGCTTCGTTTTTCATACCGATTTCAATAGAGAATATACTATTTAACACTGTTATTTTACGATCTTTGGAGCCTAAACATCATCATCATCAGTTTAAAATTTAAAATAGGCGAAATCCAGCCCTATAATTAAAAAATAGATCTTTCAAAATGAAAATCTTTACTTTTAAATATAGATAATACATTAAAACAAGAGAATTTACGAAAACTACTTAGAATTAGATAACCATTTGATAGGACCAATTATTTTCCAAGTTAATTTGAATGAGCTAAGCTACGAAATAAACATTTTCCAGCAATTAAAGAATTTCTGTGAGAAGATGAGATCTTTAACCAGCTATGGTTCCAAGAGGAAACATTTGGACTTACGTCAGATGCTACAAAAAACCTTTAACAATAGGGTAATATGTAACAATGGTCTGGAACATTGGTCTGCTCGTTCGTCTATTGATTTTTATTTATGAGGCACATAAAAAATTAAGTTTATAGCTTTGAGCCTCCTAAAGATGTTATTACATTAGAAGAAAGAGTAAGAAACTCTATGGCAGCCATACATCGAAAAACTTTAAGGATAGCCACCCGAGCAGTTCTGAGAAGATATAATTATTTAGATAAAAATGGAGGACAAATTGAACAGTGTAATTAGCTGGGTAATTAGTTTTACGATATCCCCTCAATTAACTTCCAAAAATGAAAATACATTTTTAAAAAGAGATTTATCTAGGTTTTTTGTTTAAATCTGTTGTTCAAATTATGTTTTACTAATTATAAACGAAAAGATTAAAAAAAAAACAGATCCGGAGAAAGACATAAAAGTGAAATATTGCCTACAAAAATGTTTTTAAAAGTGACGTTTTAAAAAACCACAAACAACATTATAAAATGAAAAGTAAAAACATAGCATTTTTGACACTTCTCAAAGTTGCTATAATGCATGACAGCGGTCGGTCGGTCAGGGCCTTCTCAACCGAAGCATATATATAGATTTTTATATACTACTAACACTGTTATATTACCATATTTGATTTAATTAGATTTTGATAAACCCACCCAGGCAGCATTTTTACACGTAATTCTCGTTTATATTTGATATTGGTTGATTCCGTATACGTTAACGGTTTATGATTATTATAAATACCGTTTTTAAATGATATATTATAAGTTTTTTTTATACGTCCTATAGTATATAATTGTAAACTATTCTACGTTTAAATATAGTTAACAATATACGACTATTTTTAGTTTGCGATGAACGATATACGTTTAGGTTTATTTAAATTAAATTCGTATAAATTTATGTAATAAATTTCATCTTGGTTGATTTCTTAAACGTTTTTATACTTGACATTTTTTAACAGATAAATTAAACGTTTATAGATACTAGTTATTGTATATTGTACGTTTAAATATAATTTACCTTACACGTATATTTCCTGTTGGTGATAAACTATTAGACAGAAGTAGATAATATGTATACATTAAGGTTTATTTATATGAAAAGCTTATTGGTATATTTGTTTATATTATATCCATATTTTTTTATTATTTCACCTGTAATATTTATAACAAATTCCCCATACACATAGAACTATTTGATAAGGCGGATGAAACATGGCATACTCAGGCTATGATCTCTTCTCATTTCTACCCTTGCCTTTGCGCATATTGGGTAGTGTAGTCTGCTGTGATATTGTTGTATACTCATTTGTGTACACGTGTTCAAAGATATTGATTAAAAGCATAGGTAAGTTTATATTAATGTTTTATTTTAGCCATTCCTTCAATAATTACTGCATTTTACAACTGCTGTTTTATAGGTAGGTACAGTGTGTAAGATGCTTACAGAAATTCTAAAATATAACCTTATTTTCTAACTGTTGTTTCTCTTATTTTTATAAAAAAATTTTAGGCCATCTGTTTATTCCAATCGGGTGGCACAAAATTGATCGAAAACATTTGATCGAATACATTTGATCGAACACATTTGATTGAATGCATTTAATCGAAAAAACATTTTATCGAATAACAATTGATCGAAAAGGAAAATGATTGAACAGAAATATGATCGAAAAGAACAATGATCGAAAAGAACAATGATCGAAAAGAAAATTGATCGAAATTAGATTTGATAGAAAAAGCAATTGATTGAAAAATCAAATATACATAAAATTATAGAAAAATGAAAACAAAAATTTTAACTAATTTACCTAGCCTGTGAGGCCTAGAATCATCGCTGGTTGCTTCGCAAAAACTAAAAATGAAAAAATGAAACTTAACTAACGTACCTAACTTGTGCGAGAGCAATCAGTTAAATTTAAATAGCACAGGTTAGGTAAATTAGTTAAGTTTTTTATTTTTCTAATTTAAAAAAAAATTCTGCAAGGCAAACTGCTACGACTCCAGACCGCACAGGTTAGATTATAAAAAAATAAATTACCTAACCTATGTCAGGGCAATCAGTTAAATTGATCCAGGCCGCACAGGTTAAGTAAATTAGTTAAGTTTTTTATTTTTCTCTTTTTTGCAAATTTTTTTTTTGCGAAGCAACCCTCGAGGGCTCCAGGCCACACAGGTTTGGTAAAATAGTTAAATTTTATATGATAAAAAAAACTTATGCGAGAGCAATCAGTTAAATTTAAATAGCGCAGGTTAGGTACAAGGTGGCGCAAAATAAAGCCCCTATTTGTTATTTATATAAAAGTAAGATTAATTAAAAAACAGTCATATTATAAATGAAAAATATTTATTTAAACTCTAAAAATTTGTTTTATTACACACTAAAAACAATATTGACCAAATGGCCACCCCCAGTATTAATGCAATAATGAGCTCTTTTTAAAGCATTTTTCATTACTTTCTCCAACATTTCAGGTGGTATTCTATCAATTTCTTCCTGGATGTTGTCTTATGCTTCTAGTGTTTGAGGATTATTTACAAATACCCTATCTTTGATATAACCTCATAACCAAAAGTCTGGAACAGTTAAATCGGGAGACCTTGGCGGATATGCAATATCGGCGTTTTTCGAGATAAGGCGCTCAGGAAAAATTCTGTTCGAAATGGCTATTGTTTCACGGGCCGTGTGTGCTGTGGCACCATCTTGTGGATACCAAATATATTCCTGATTAGGCTCTTCCATTCTGTAGCTTCTGTAGCGATCTCCATTTACTGTAGTGGTTCTTCCCCGATCGTCCTCAAAAAAATAAGGCCCCAAAATTTTTCTACCACTAACGCCACACCACACGGTCACTTTTGGCTCAAGTAACGATTGCTGGTGAATAATTTGTGGATTCTCACTACCCCAGAAGCGATGGTTCTGCTTATTCACAGCTCTATTCAAACAAAAATGAGGTTCGTCGCTCAATTTTGTTTTCAAAGTTTACTATAGCATTACAATATTGACGTCGTTTTTCAAAGTCTAAAGGCAGAATTTTATGGGTTACCTGTATTTTGTACGGAAAAAAGTGCATATCATTCACCAAAATTCGTTGCAATGAACGTCGGGTAATGTTTATTTGTAAAGATCGTTTTCTTGTTGATGTGGTAGGCCTTTCCTTCACATCTCTACGTACGCGGTCTATATTATCCCTTGAACGAGCTGAACGAGGTCTGCCAATATGCGGTTTATCAGATGTAGACCCAGTTTGTTTAAAATTTGTTGCTAAACGCCGAAATGTCTTTGCAGTTGGAACACCGCGTCTTCCGTATTTTCTATGGTATTCTCGTTGAGCTAGGATAATCGACGAATTGTTTTGATAAAAAAATGTTACGATTTTGTCACGTTCTCGAGGCGTATATCGATTCATAATGAATTTCCCAAGTATCTACTTTGCAACTGACAGAAAATCTCGAACAAATGTCAACTACAAACGAAACCATGACAACATTCCATATGTACTTGATTTTGGGCCACCTTGTATATTAGTTAGGTTTTTTATTTTTCTATTTTTTTTCTAATTTTTTTGCGAATCAACCGCGACGGCTCTTGACCGCACAGGTGAGGTAAGTTAGTTAAGTTTTTTATAAAAAAAACCTTACCAAATTACCTAACTTGTGCAAAAGCAATCAGTTAATTAAATTGCTCTACGCCGCACAGGTTAGGTAAATCAGTTAACGTTTTTTATTTTTCTGTTATTTTTTGCGTGGAAAACCGTGACGGCTCCAGGTCGCATAGGTTAGGTAAATTAATTAAATTTGTTAAATAAAAAATCAAACCTAAAATGTCCCATTGGGAGACAATTCGACCTTATTGAAATACATATTTTGTGCGAATTAATAACAGTTCTTTAATCTCAATGAAGATAAATAACCGTTTAGCTCCAAAATATTAATTTTTTTAAATTAAAAATATTGAAAGGACAAAAATTTGTTAAACGAGGTAGCTATCGTTTGAGATTATCCAAAAATTTGCCATTAGTACCTAATTTTGATAGCCGCTGAGTTTAGTTTCTCCGGTAGAAGGCATTAGACAGACTTTTGCATGATTTTTTTGATGTTTTACTATTTTTAATGTTGATTATCGATATATTGTTCTTTCGATCTAATGAATTTACGATTTCTTGTCTTTTCGATAAAATGTTATTCGATAAAATATATCTTCGATCAAATGTATTTTCGATCAAATACCATTCGATAAAATGTATTTTCGATCAAATTTCCAATTCGATTAAATGTTTTTCGATCAATTTTGTGCCACCCATTCCAATCACATTCATTTTCCATATTTTATTCGTCAGTGGATTTTGTTTCATAGAATGTCGAAAATAGCGCTGACTGTGATTATAATAAGTCCTTTTTGCAGAAAATACACCTGGCCTGCATCGGCAGAGTAAACGTTTGGAATTGTACCTACCATGGACATTATGAAATATACCTTCTGAGGAACTCAGTTGCCAATAAATTTAACTGGCCAGGCTGTGAAAAGCAACAATTAAATAATTGTATCGCTACCGTGGTTATTTTTGGTAAGTTTCTTTTCATAGTGATATGACCTTAATAATAAAAACGGTTCCATTGTTGAAGCCATAAGGCATATCTATAGGAGCGATGGTGTACCTACCAAGGAATTTGACAGACCGAACCATTAAATGTGACATACAAGACTGGCTTAAACATTGCTATGGTACGTCTGGAACAACACATCAAAGTGATGACTTAAGATTTTTATTTTGATATATATTGTTTGTTTGTTAAAGAAAGATCCTGTTAAGTTTCTCATTTAGAATTTTATTGTTTATTTTTTGAAATAAAATAGTTTTCTATACATAATGTGATTTCCGGCTAAACTAGAAACACGATGAATATACGTTTCTAGCGCGGACATTTTCACGTATATTTTGGGTAGCATATCAACGGTATTCATACATATTACGTAGTACATAAAAAACGTCTTTTATACCAAAGTGTATTCGTATAAATATACTACAACTATAAATCTAACATAGACGTATAATAAACACGGTTAATTATAGGTGAATAAATCAGTAGTAATCAATGTTTACATGTGACAAATAATATACGTTTATTGGGCGGACATTTTCTCGAATATATTAGGTAGTACATCAACCGTATTCATACGTATAGTGATACCTACAAAAATACGTAATTTATACCAAAGTGTGCCTGGGCAGCTTTAGTTATTTCCTTCTTATTTTTTAAATACTTCACAACATCAAGTAGTCTGGGAATTTAGTTGTCAAATTGATAAAATGAAACTATTGGAATAATTCAATGGCATTATTTACCTAGGTGTTTTTTTTATTATCATTAATTACCTAGGGTGACAAATATTACTTCTCATTAGAGGCCTGGAGTCAAATAATACTTTCTTATGTTAGTAGTAAAAAAACATGATCGCTACATTTTCCTTACTGGTTACTGTAAAGTAAAAAAATATACTTACAAAAAACAACTGCTAGAAATTCTTTGGTATCAATGTAATGAAAGAGTTTATCTCTATTAATTTCTTCTATACTCTGATCATTTTTTTGGTCCATCATCCATTCTAACACTTCCGTTTCATCTAACAAATTGCCTACAAAACATTTTATAAAAATTAATTTTACGTATTTTTTTTTTATATAAACACTAAGCAAAATATTTTCTACATACCTCAATAATTCAGACTAAAGTTTTGGAAAATGCCTTAAATTCGTCTATGGTCCTTCATATTCAGTTGAAATGTATTTTTAAAATTACATTCTCTAAAAGTTACGTTAAATGCCAAAAAAGATACATGAAAAAGGTAACAATAATTTATTTTTAAACTCAAACAAAAATGTACAGTGCTTGTTTTTGTTTTTGAACATGCGAGGTGTGAGGCAATATCTTATTATCCCGAATACAACTAAATCTGAGGAAGTTAGATCTTTTAAAAATTTGCAAACACGTAAGGCCATCTTTGATATAGGTATACTCGGGATTTTATTTCGTAAAAGTTATAGTACATGCTTTAAAAATGCTATTATCTTCAAAAAATAACAATAATATTTAACAATATTTATATAATCTAGTTTAAAACAATAAAAAAGCCTATGACTTAGGTTCAACGAAACGACAATCAAATTTAAATTTATCCTAAAATATAAACTATTTAATAATTTACTATTGAGCATAGTTGGTTGAAAAATCTAAACTTGATTGTCAATTAAACTTACAATTCCAAACAAAACAGCTTAAAATTAAAATTAAAAGTAAAAGCAAAAAATATTGTAAAAGCTTTGACGTAAGGGTAATTTAGAATTTAGGGGTTTGTCAAGATAAGTAAATAAAAAAAATAACTCTAATTGATAAACCCTTAAATCATTGAGTACAGACTAATTTACTAAGCAATTATGTCTGTACATAGTTGATCCATCAAGCTTGTTTTCAAACTAACAGAAAGCTAAAATTAATTAATTAGATGTCAAAAGAAAAATAAAAGTGAGCCATTCTTAAACCATAGCAACCCCAGTTTTTAGTCGTAGACTTGATTATTCCAAAAGAGTCTTCATCATCGAGATCAATCTTGCCATGGAAAAGTTGTTGATTAGTTAGATACCTACCACCACCAGATATATTTACCGAAAAATGCTTTTTTGGCCTTCCCCTTTTCTCCCTTAGTTGGTGCCTTGTCTTTCACTCGTTCTTCCTTAATTTTTATGGGATGGTTCGCTTTGGACGCCGGTTTTAGTGTAGCTGGTTCGACTTTCCGACTTGGTGTAACTTTGGTACCGACCTGCTTCGATACTGACTTAGACGGTTTAGCTTGTAACTTGGCAACCTTGCTGGTTTTTGCTGGAGGTTTCGGACAACACTGGAAGGGCTGATACGCTGCCGGTGCGGACTTTGGACCTTTACCTCCCATGCCGATGTAGAAGCATCCATCTCCTGCAGCATGAAACATAATGTCAGAATCCACATAGTTAGAGACATGAAATAATACAATAAGAGCATTTAACTGTTAGTAAAATCAAAAAAATTGGTGAGAACATTGTGAGAGTCTGACACTATGCCTAATCATGCAATGCCAGGAATAAGCATGCACTCGCACAGGCAGGTATGGCCACTCTGAAGCTGGGTACTACCGTCCAGGACTGCCGGACTCTCTCGGTTTAGGTGAGGGGTTTTGTTGAAGGGTACCAGAATTTTCTCTTTCTGTTTAGAATCACTTTTGATAGTGCCTAAATCAGATATTTTGCTTTAATTAAGTTAATATTCGATAGATATTGTTAAATGTTTTTTTTAAGTGTTTAACGATTTAAATGACTCCAACGTGTTATCAAGGGATATCGAAAGTCTTTAACGTAAGTTTATTATCGTAATCTGTAGAAACCTGTTTATGTGAATTAAATATTTCCAGTTCAGGAGTAAAAAATATATTGTTCTTACTTTTTTGCTTTATAGGTCGTTTTTATGAATATTTGAATATTATAATACACTTCATTCTAATTTATTTAGAGATACCTATGTTAGGTATTGATCTGTTTTTAATCAGGTCTTGATCAGCTTGTAATGTGTCTTGATCAGCTTTGACCCGCTTTAATAAACTTTGATCTTCTTTCTCTTTCCTACAATATAGACTTGGCTAGGCGAGGCTCGTAAATACCCTCCAGGCTCACCTGTACAGGTGACATGTGACGTCATGACACCTAATGATAGATATTCGTTAATGGCTATTTGGTAATGCCTCAGCGCATGATTCTGATCAGCGTTAATCTAAGTCAAATCTTCTTTATTTGCTTTGTTATCAGACCAACAATAGCAGAGATATATGTTAATGCCTTTTTGACAATGCTACTGCGGATCCCTTGTCGTCGATGTCACTTTATGAGCTCCGATACGACGTTATCATGTTTACTGATAAGCCCGACTTTGATTCTCGACGCTTGACCTTGATATGGACAAACATTGCCGAAATAAACCTCAGAATTTCTTATGGAGATGTGAAAATGGTCGATTTCAAACCCGAACGCTTGCTTCCCCTTTACTAATATAAGCGATTTTTTTATGTGAATTTAGATTATACCAAAATATTGATAAATAAAGCATACTTACAGTACGATAGGATAGAGATGGAAAGTCGGAATTAGAAGCCCAATGGCAAATCTAAAAATGAGAGGAGTTTCCTCAGTTAATGGCTGAACTTCGATGCTATTATTTCAGTGATCTATTTGTGTTCAATTATGTTAACTGAAATTACTCTTCCCATTTTTAGATTTGCCAGTATGCATCTTATTCTTACTCACCCTCTCAATCTTGTCGCACTGTACAAATTTATAATGAACATACCATTTTATCAGCTAAATTAAAGAGATGTGGCAAATTTCTATAACGTCAGCCACTAAAAGTGCCAACGTTATTAGAGGCAAATAAATTCCATATTAGAGAGTTATTGCAAGTTCACTTAAGGTCAGTCACTATTAGTGCCGCTCTTATTTTGACATCTGAGCATGCGCAGATCACTAACTTTAATAAAGATTGTGCCTGTCCTTAATAGAGAGATATTGCAAATTTCTATAAAGCCAGCCACTAAACTTTAAATTATAGTTCATGTTTTTTGTTGTCTATAATAATAAAGAGGCATTAGAAATTATAATTTTAGAAGGTTTAAATGACGATTATATTAAATATTTAATATTAAAAAACTTCTAACGGATACGAATGTCGGCGAGCGCATCCGAAAACTATAAAGTCGCCACTACCTGCGGCCCTTAAACATCCATAATTAAGGACAGGCACAATCCTTAACAAAGTCAGTTTTAGAACATAAACATCTGCGCATGCTTAGATGTCAAAATAAGAGCGGCACTAATAGTGACTGACCTTAAGTCACATAGTGAACTTTCAATAACTTTCTTATTAAGGACAGGCACAATCTTTATTAAAGTTAGTGATCTGCGCATGCTCAGATGTCAAAATAAGAGCGGCACTAATAGTGACTGACCTTAAGTGAACTTCCAATAACTCTCTACTAAAGTAAGACTCTTTGATTACCTAAAGTTTTGACATTAAAGTCATTGTTTTTATACAAATATTCACTAACCTCATTTTAAAAACTTTGTTGTTTTCTATAATATTACATAATATGAAAAAGACTAGAAATTATCAATTTAGGATATTTAGATGAAAATGATATTGAATATTTAATATTAGAAAACTTTGAACTTATACGAATGTCGGCGAGCGCACCCGAAAGCTTCTAAAGTTGCCTCTATTTGCTGCCGCTAAATCTCCACAGTCAATGCCATCTTAAATAAGGTCACTCCTAGAACTTAAATGATCTACGCATGCTCAGATGTCAAAATAAGAGCGGCGCTAATAGAGACTGACCTTAAGTGAACATGCAATATCTATAGCTCAAAGCTCAACACGAATTGATCACTTTAAATTAAATAAATAAAAATATTAATTAAATATAGTATTTTTCAACAAACCTTATGTCATCTTACATAGTCCTATATCGTCTTATATCGTCATATTGTCTTATATTGTCTTATATTGTCTTATATTGTCTTATATTGTCTTATATTGTCTTATATTGTCTTATATTGTCTTATATTGTCTTATATTGTCTTATATTGTCTTATATTGTCTTATATTGTCTTATATTGTCTTATATTGTCTTATATTGTCTTATATTGTCTTATATTGTCTTATATTGTCTTATATTGTCTTATATTGTCTTATATTGTCTTATATTGTCTTATATTGTCTTATATTGTCTTATATTGTCTTATATTGTCTTATATTGTCTTATATTGTCTTATATTGTCTTATATTGTCTTATATTGTCTTATATTGTCTTATATTGTCTTATATTGTCTTATATTGTCTTATATTGTCTTATATTGTCTTATATTGTCTTATATTGTCTTATATTGTCTTATATTGTCTTATATTGTCTTATATTGTCTTATATTGTCTTATATTGTCTTATATTGTCTTATATTGTCTTATATTGTCTTATATTGTCTTATATATTTTTTTAAATCTAAATTTACATAAAAAATCGGTAATATTACTCTTAAAAAAATTTAGAAATTGCACGCCTGTATCCAATGCAACTACAAAAAACAAATTAAGTTAAGGCTATATACTTATTGTCCAGTTTTGAAAGCCAATGTTAACAACCGAAAAATTGGGGAGTTTTTATCCTAAGTGCTTAACCTTGTCTTGGACAGTGCCTATTAGCAGAAGGGACTGCGATAGCTTTATAAATAGGGAGCTTGCCTTAAATCTCACGCTGTTTGCGTGTCGGTGTCGGTGGATAAGATCAGTCGGTATCATGGAGTTGCCAATGACTGCTTTTTCTCTCTCTTAGTCTCGTTTATTATGAATATTCTTCTTTGTGTTGTTTCTTATATTTTGCATTATACTAAACAAAAATTTAAACCGAATATGTGTAATGTTAATATTATTACCCACGATTTATTAGAGGGGTTTGGCAAATTTCTATGTCAGCCACTATCAGTGACAACGTAATTAGAGGCAAATAAATTCCATGCTAAATATTGCGAAGTTGAAGTTTTATTAGATTCATTGTCCTTTTATATATTTCTAACCTAATTGTATTTTTTTATTACAATTCATCTTTTTTGTTGTCTATAATAGTACATAATATGAAAGAGGCATTAGAAATTACCACTTTAGAAGGTTTAGATGACGATGATGTTAAATATTTAATATTAAAAAACTTCAAACTACTAATGTCGACAAGCGCACCCGAAAGCAATAAAGTCGCCACAATCTTTTAAATAATTAATTAAACATCCACAATTAAGGATAGGCAGAATCTTCAATAAAATAAGTTTTAAAACGTGAACGATCTGCGTATGCTCAGATTTCCTTAAAAAACTTTCTTCCCTAAATATCCTTTTTCCATCAAGTATTTTTATTTTTTTAAGCTCATTAGATGAGAAAATATATAATATTCGGTTTAACAAAAGTCTGTGGCAAAAAAACTACGTTAAGATGCCAATTCTCAAAAAAAAGAACGCCGCTAATAGTGACTGACCTTAAGTGAACTTGCAATATCTGTTTATTTCTATGTTCGATATTATTTTAGTTTCTATTAGGTACACGGACCTTTAGTTTAACGGCCAGTTCATGAAAATCATGTTAGTCTTAAATACAGTTTCGTATTTTTAAGGGTGTCTTTTAGGGTTTTATAGAGAAAAGAATACTTTGTAAATGATGCGTTACTTCACCATACTAGCTATTTTAAAAAATAGGGGATGGCTGCCCAGCTTCTGGGTATGAATTTTATATGACAATTTATCCACTTGCCAACAAAAGTTGATGTATTTTTTTAGACTTTCAAAAATATTTTGTTTCTGAGTTTCTGGAGGGTCAAGTTTTCGTTGATATACTCTATATTATTTTACTATAAAGGGGGGGGTTTCCGTTAAATATATAAATAAACATTAATTACCAAAATATTTTTGTAAAATTATAAAGTTTTTTTTTATGAATTTACAGCAAGCTATTTTGAAATTAAGTATTTAATTTTTGACCATCACCTATTTTTAAATTGTTTTATTTAGTAAATGAGAATAAAAAAAACAAATTTAATTTATCTGTCCCTTTTAAAATATTATAAATTTCGACTTATAAAATTTTCTGGGTACAAGTGAAGGTTAAAATTATTTTTAGAATCTTGTGAATTAGGTCAACTTGGTATCGGTAAGTATGTTCATATAGCTAGTTTCCATTTTTAATTTATGTGGTTATATAAAAAATGACTACACACTCAAAATCTTAAAATAGAAACTCTTTGAATTGGTCTGTAAAACATTGTTTTATATCAGATTCTTCTGTTTAGTTTCCAGATTTTTTTTTATATTTTTCAATTTTGGAATTAAGTGTAAGTAAACCTGGAGGGCTTAAATATTTTTCGATAATGTAATAATTATTATTAATAATATATTATTATATAAAAGTATAATCATTCGAATAAATAAAATCCATTAAATGCTACTAAAATACTCTTTTTTATCCATGCCTGTTAAATAATTTTTAATACATTTAACATTTTTTAATATGAATCAAAGTTATCGATTTTTATCCTTCTAGTATCATTTGAGTAATTTATCAAATAATTGCAAAAATATAAGTGATTATTTTCTTTCAATATAATTTCCATACACATTCTTCCTTGGTTTTCTTTAGTTTCCTTTTATTTAACTCTTAATTTTTTTTTTATTTTTAACTTTTAATACCACATATAAAATTTAATTCAAGGAAAGGTTATATTATGTGAGAATACTACCTGTAAAATTTCCTTAAATATTAAATATAAACTTATGCACAATAAATTGGAAACATTTAAACACATTTTTTTTTTAATTTCTTAATAGTCTAACGCACAGATTTATAATTAAATAAATAAATAAATTATTTGATGAGATGAGTATTATTTATTTATATATTATATTTGTTAAGTTATAATGTTGTTGTTGTTGTTATAATATTTACTATATGTATGATGCCTATTTTTATTTATATTTTAAATAAGTTAGTGTTTTTAATAAATAATTTTCAAAAAATTACAACTTTGTGGTTTCTATAAAATTTTAATCTTGATTAAATTGTAGTAATAAAATTATGTTGTTTTATAATTTAATCATTAATACCGTATATTTTTGCTGTTTCTAAAATTATTTTTTAAAAAATATATCCAATTTAGTTTCATATAAATTATCTGATTTAGACAATAACAAAAGTATTTTAACTTCAGTGAACCTAGAAGGTTCACTTTTACCTGTTGTTTTCCCCTTATATAATTTAGTGAAATGTTCTAATCCGCTTCCAAGTTCATCATTATCATCGTCATCATCGTCGTCGTCATTGTCATCATCATCGTCGTCGTCATCATTATTATTACTATTACCATCGTCGTCATCACCGTCATCATCATCATCATCATCATCATCATCTTCTTCTTCATCATCGTTATCATCATCTTCATCATCATCGTTACCTATGGAATTAGAGCAACATGCAGGCCGATCATGCATCACACCTCGTTTATCCTCGCATGTAAAAGCCAAATATTTTTCGATATTATTTTTTTTTAAATGGAACAATTACTTTGAGAAGTGAGAAGTGACAAGTTACAGTAAAAAAAAACTAATTTAAACTTTAAATTCTTACTTTTCTGTTCAATTAGCCATTCCAAAACTTTGTCCTCGTTCTTAAGGTTGCCTATAACATTGAAAAATTAAGATACTGAATTCATAAATCTCGGCTGGTTTGCTGAAATTAAAAATCTTTTGGGTTTACAACTGTTAAGTATGCATTTTATTCTGTAGAAGGAAAATTATTAAATTCCGCTACCAAAATCTGAACTAAATTTCACCTGAATAATACATTGTTATAGTATTAAACACAAATTTTAGAACATCCTGAAGTACAATATTAATATATTAATAATTTAGCATGTAAAAACATTACAACTATAACTAATAATATAACAATTCATCTATCAGTTATGAACCCAAAAAAATAAAATATTTTCCATAAGAACTAGTCTTTAAATTAACACAATATATTCAAAACCACGCTTACCATCATACATAATTGGTACACCGGTTTCGTAGTAAACTAGAGCTGGAAAACTGAAAATCCCTATTTCAGCGGCCAATTTAGCGTCCATAGATTTAACGAATTGTATGCCATGCTTGTCGGTATCATCGTCGATGGTTTCTAACTCTTCTAGAATTTGAGTACAATCTTCACAGTCGTTGCTATAGAATAAGACGGCTAAATGTTCAACATCATTTATGAGAACCTTGAAAAAACAATTTCATTGGGGTTAGAATCTAACTCTCTAAAATTTGTAATAATATTAATGATAATTTATTAAATGTAAGGCACTACAGTAATAATAAATTTTACAAAACACTTGTTTTGCGATAAGATTGAACAATGAACCTGCTAAACTACTCTTAATAAACAATTATTAACAGACCCTATTATTCAATCTTCATATCGGATCATGCAGTCATCACAATTCGTATACAATTCGAAAAAGATAACTCGTCTCACAAAGATCATAATAGATCGTCTTCTAACTACCACTGACTGTGTAGATATTGCAGGGTGACTCGGGAGATCCTGCGGAAGTATGAACTAAGTTCATAACCGTTATTTAAAAAGAAGTGTTTTATAAAAATAAAATAAAACCGTGGATAAACGGAGAACTAGACAAAGGTTAATTATAGCGTAAATATAAGCGATGAAATAATATGGCGGAAAATTTTGTCAAAGATTTAAAAATATCTAAAATTGAGGCCTGAGATGAATATGAAGAGTTGATTACAAGCAGTAACAACTGAAAAACATTATATAAATATTATTTCTTCAGTGTATTCAAAAGTATCTATTTCTTTACTAAACAAAGAAGATGAAATTCCCTGTCAAAATAATTTCGAAAAGGCTGGGCTTCTGGCTAATACCTTTACAAAAGTTTTCTCCAATGAACAATCACACGATCAATAACCAAATATCTTACCTGAAAGAATCCCATCTTGCTTATTTACTCCCAAAATTATCAAAAGTTACCTTCTAAAATTAAAAAAATAACTCTTCTCCTGACCTCGATCAAATATCACTTCTGTTTAAAAAAAATACTCTCATACTATAGCAGTCTCTTAATCTATTATAATGTCTTTGTCTTTTAATATACACACATTACTACCTATTTAGAAAACAGTTTCTTTAACAACCATTTTAAAACTACTGCCCAGTCAGCCTTACACCCACAATCTTTAAATTTATGGAATCATTCCCAAAAAAAAACATGGATTTGTAAAGGGCGATCAACCATGACGGGTAATTTCATAAGACCAAAAAAAAAGAACATTGATTTTATATACTTAGATTTTGCAGAACCTTTTGATCTTGTGCCAAAAGAAAGATTACTACATAAATTAGACCATCTTGGTATACATGGTGATTTACTTAAATAGATTGAGTCATTCTTAACTGACAGAAAGCAATGCCTCAAAGTTGGAAATTCGCATTCATTTGAAAGTCTAGTCTTGAATGGGGGTTTTCAGGGATCAATTTTGATTCCACACTTATTTATATTATATGTTAGTGAGCTTCAATCCCGCATCAAATGCTACAATGTTTTTAACGCGGATAATACTAAAACATTTAGTGCAATCTTCAACAGATTCAAGATGAGATCTTTAACTGGTGCTCAGATTGGATGCTACATCTAAATAAGTGTAGTTTTCTATATTGATAAAAATTAGGTGTAATCTTACAATGACCTAGGTGCTATAATAATTACTGAAAATCTCAGCTGGTCTCTGCATTTTCTACAAGTGGGGGATACAAAATTTCTTGAAAATATACAACGTTGATCAACAAGACTATCTTTCGGACATATGAGACATGAGACCATGAGACATAGTTACACAGATAGACTACATATGGCTGACGTTTGAAAATCGCCGTCAGCGGGCTGATAATTTTTTGCCTACGACTACTTGGGAAAGTGACACATATCGCACCATTAAGTCTTTAATGTTTTTTATTTTGACAAAACAATGACCGTAAAACACTTTAAAAATTATTCAATAAGAAAAAAAAAACAAATCTAAAACCAGTCACTTCTTGATTGAACCTATATAGCCAGGTTTCGTGAAAAAATATTGTACATCACTTGTGTAAAAGTGATTTTTCACATTCGCGTGATATTTCGTGTGAAAACTGTAATTTTCCACACTCGTAAAGTAATATATAATTTCGCAATTTAGAATATAATTTTGAATATTTTTATCGTGTACAGTAAAAATCAACTACGTGGCCATAAGTGAGTGCTGAAAAAATAACCATTTATCACTAAATCGAGAAAATAATTATTTTTTATGCAATGCAATATTCTGTACTTGGAAATAACTACCGGAGAATGTTGTAAATACTCCATCTATTATTGTTTAATTTTTATTGTATTTCGCTTGTTTATTTGTTATTCATTTAGTATTAGTTTCTTCTTCTCCAAATAGCTAGATTGCTTTCTGTCGTAATAATAGTCGAATAACCTAAAAATATACATATACCTCCGAAATTAACATTAGTTAATCAATTATGAAAAGTGCCAAAAGCTTTTTATTTAATCTTCCTAATCAGTAAAAATTAGAATCATTAAGATAGATGAAAGGGTGATGATATGACATCATTAAAGCGGAACCACTAAGGCCATATGAATATTACCTCTTCATTTCTTATGCCATCAAGTTTTGTTTTCGCATTTTCTCATAATTTGGTATTTTTTCAGTAAATGTTTTTTTATAAATAAATGCTGTTTAGTTAGTCAATTGGACTACAAATAGTTTTAAATACGACCCTGGTTATTCCGCTATATTGTTCTTGCCATAGGCCCCTCCCAAGTTCTATTTTCTATTGAGAACAACAAATATCCTCATGTCTATGTCATCTCCTTTTCATACTACCTCAATGGTTAGAAAAAATAATTATGTATCAAATACCTACCTACCTGTAAAGTTTTTCTATCGACATTTTCGATAACGTCAGGATCGGAATCACGCAAATTCAATATCCATTCCAATATGGCTTCTTCGTGCATAAGATCGCCAGTGTAGATCTCCCTAAATCTATTTCTGTAGAAAACGACTGCTGGTAGGGAAGGTAAGTCGTATTCTTTTTGAATACCTTCATCTGAGATTTTGACGAAATCTATATCCTTGTCTTCACATTCATCGTCAATGTTTTCAAGTTCTTGTAGTATTTTTTGACATCTCTTGTCACCTTCTTTGTCTAAAAATATACATCATTGAGTTTTTAATGATTACTATTAGGTATATCTTACAGAAATATACAACGACGTGTTCATTTTCACCCAAAATCTTATCTAGCATCTTTGTGTTGACTTCTTCAATGCGATCAGGTATTTCAAGAGTGTTTTCATCAGTAAGCCAAGCTAAAACCTCGTCTTCATCTTCGATGTCTCCAGTATATACCAATGGTTCTTTATTTCTGAAGAAAACTAACTTAGGAAAACTCTTAATATTATACTTTTTAGCTATGACCAAATCTTCTGTTGTAACGAAGATAATACCGGTTTCATCAAGTTCGTCATCAATATTTTCTAATTCGTTAAGTATATTGTCACATTCCATTCCTTCTTCACAGTTACCGCTGAAGTAGACTACAACGTATTCGTGTTCTTGAATGAGATCTTCGAGTATTTCATCAGTAACTTCTTCAATTGTGGCAGTTGTTTTTTGTTCGATCAGCCATTTGAGTACTTCGTCTTCGTTCATGAGATCACCTTCATATATTGATGGGATTTTATCTTCAAAGTAGATCAACGTTGGTAAATGATCTATACCGAATTCTTTTGCTTCAGCGTCATTATCGATTCTTACTATTACAATTCCTTCTTTCTCTAAGTCGTCATCGATATTTTCTAGTTCATTGAGGACTCTGATATCTTGTTTATCGTCTTTATCATCTAAAAAAAATGATATTAATTTATATAAAATCTACGAGGAATTATTACTTACAAAATAATACAGCAAGATATTTTTCTGATTCAATAAGTAAATCCATCATCTCGTCAGTTATATCTGGTATCTCACTGTGTCTCTTTTGATGCAGCAGCCATCCCAGTAATTCTTCCTCTTTCATTAGGTCTCCTTCGTAAAGATGAGGAATACGCTTTTCAAATAACACTAAGCTGGGAACGGTGTCTATACCGTATTCTTTTGCTTCATCGGGATTGTCAATTTTAACGAATACTATGCTATTTTGGTCACATTCGTCGTCAATGTTTTCGAGTTCGGCCAAAATTTTTTGGCTCTTCTTGTGGTTTTTGTCATCTAAAGAAAAGGATCAATTTAATGGTTAAAAATTATGTATTCTTACAAATATTAATTCGGCCAATTTAAATAATACTATTATTGCTAAAATGAAAAATTATTATAAGACCCATATTGGACGAATTAAATGATAAATAAAATTGAACTCAATTTTACAACGGATTCCACGAGGAAAAAACAAATTGAAGGACTTAAATTAAAGTGAAAGTGAAAGCAGATAGTAATATTATTTGATTTATAGAACAGTTCTGTCGAGTGTGCTGAAAAATATGCTTGATTGTACCGCAGTTGAAAATGATCTTAAAGAGGAAGTGAAGCTAAAGGAACTGTTAGAAAACAAAGATATAGAAATAACAAGAAAAAATTGTAAAAACTCAGAGATTAACTTATTTAAAATAGAAAGAAAATTACTTACTGAGAGCTTATGGTGCTATTGAATAATCTAAATAATAAAATTAACAGTTTAACAAAAAAAAATAGTGGGAAAAATTTGCTTATAACAGAGAAAATTAAAGAAAAACTAACTGATATCTAAAAAAGAACGATAGTTTCTATGGAAACCCTAGAAGAGGATAAAGAAACTTGTGAAAACGAGTTGATTCTTTTAAAATCGCCACTTTGTTATCCAAGAAATCAAATGATCACAAGTGCATCTAAATTATAGCCAGGGAAGGGCCTTTTAGAAGTTTATCATATGCACGGCAAGCTCAAAGTACTTCCTAAAGAAACATATTATTAGTAGGCGACGAAGCTGTCATTTTAATTTTAAAGGCCGATTAATAAACTTGCAGTTACAGTTACCGCTCGCAGTTGCAGTTCTCGTTGGAAGTTAAAAAGCTACTTCTCTGTTACTGTCACCGTCCGCTGTTGCACATTCAAACATAACAAAGTTTTAAGTTTAACGGCGACTGCAACGTCAAACAAATGGTAACGATGATGGAACTGCAAGTTTATAAATCGACCTTAATTAATGTATGAGGCGATTTTCTGGATTCAAAAGTTATTCAATCTATTATTAAACTAAAAGGATAGTTTAAGACTGTACTGGAGAATGTAAACAATTTTGTGATTGTGGTAGCATGTGCTAATGATTTTGACATATCCAGGGTCCTTTCGGAGCAAACCCAAATTTGCTAGTAGAAGTCTTACGACAAGGAAAAAGAGAGAACGTGTAACAAGAATATCGAGCCTTCGTAGTACTCTGTGCCGATTATCTATTGGCCGCCATTATTTTGGTGCTTAGCATTTCGGCGACACCAAAGCTTTTTACTCCTATTTATTTGTGATTTTTAAATTAAACGTTATTTGATTATCAGTTTGTTACAATGGTGTATTATGTTGCATATCAGTGTAAAAGTCGTAGCGACAACAAATAACCAGATATTTCGTTTGACAGGTAAATAATAAACGTGAATCATTTATACTTTATATATTTTATTATATTTTTCATTTTATTTGGTTATCATAGAGCTCGATATTTATATATTTTACATATCTCACTCCAGAGTAATAAAAATGTGACCTGCCAAGTTTGTCTATTTCATTAATTTTTAAGCAATAAATAATATTAAAATTGCCAAAAATGCAATATTTTCCAGTAGTGTGTCGTACAGTTCTAAATATTAACTTTTATCAAATACTCTTTACTGGTGAATCTACTTTCCGAAAATGAACATGAATTTCGAACTGTAGATCGACCAAAACCGATGGTCTTTAAACGTTTATGGTGGAACGTAGTTGGTGAGGCCGTATTTTTTGATGGCTATTTAAAAAAAAGAATTTTTTTTTTAAATTTTTGAAGATAGATTCCTGGAACCTTCTTTTGGTTATGAGACGAAAAATATGGCTGCAGCTAGATGGTACTCCCGCCCATTTTTCGCATAATGTCAGGACATACTAAAACTCAAAATTTTCTGAAAAATTAATAGGAAGAAGAGGATTTACTAACTGTCCCCCGTCATCTGTAACCTGTAAAGGGTGGATTATCCTTCGGCACTTAGTCCTCACTAGACCCATTAACCATCCTCCTAAGATGGTACGCTCTTCTTAGTTGACAAAGTCGCCAAGAGGTTATCCTTTTATATCGGTATGTGTTAGCCGATACACAAATCTTCTAATAGTGCAGAGTGCGGATTCTAATATATGCATTCGTACTTGGCAATGACTAGTCAGAATGCCTGTGACCAGGCGCAGATACTTTCTACTCAAAGTCAAGTATTTGTTTGCTGAAGTGTTGTCAGGATATCTTAAAAGCTCCATGGTAACTCTGTAGTTTCTTACTTCATCCCATCTTTCATTGAATTTCACAAATGAATGTTCTTTAATTAGGTCTATCACTACCGATTTGATTGACTTATTGGCCAGTTGATCAGTAAGACGATTACCTTTCGATGTAAGGTTACCTTTGATCCATCTTAAGGTAACCACATTGTTGATGGATACTTCGGCCAAAACTTAGTAACATTCTATACTACTAAGGCTGAGTAAATTCGTGGTCTGTTTAGGGTAAGTAGTGCTTGTCTACTATCTGTATAGATGAGTATGTTCCTTCCAGTGCTATTGTTTCTGGAGATTTCTTTTGCTGCTTTGAGAATCCCGGTGAGCTCTGTTTCAACTACACTGACATTATTGCTCACAGCCCATTTTAGGTTTAAGGATCTGGAGTATATTTCACATCCTGCGCCTTGTTTTGATTTAGAACTGTCGGTATAGATATGAATCGTATCTGCCACTTCCAACTCGTCTATTTATTCTGTTATAACTTTATATGGTTCATGGAAGACATATCTGGGTAAGATGGAGTCCATGTTCGCTTGAAGCAGTGTATCGAGCGCCTCCTGCCAAAAGAGACGTCTCGCCTCACCAGATCCTACATCAGACGCCTCACCAGATCCTACATCAGACGCCTCACCAGATCCTACATCAGATTCTATTTCCCCTTGCGGAGGCGTTTAATTGTCATCAGAGCAACCTCTTTGATGTAAATATCAAGAGAAGTGAGATTAAATTTGAGTTTTCACGGCTCCTGTTATGTTGAGACATGCTGTTCTTTAAATTTGTTATAGTTTGCGGAGAAGTGTCAGTTTTTGGGTGTTCAGTGCCCAGACAACTTTACCGTATGTTACCATAGGTCTTATGATGGCCATATAAATCCATGCGACGAATCTGTGGGAAAAATCCCAGGTGCGCTCCACAATTCGGCGGCATTGTTTATAAGCAATGTATGCTATTTTAACTCTGTTTTCTAAGTTTGAGTTCCATGTTAACTTGCTGTCAAAGGTGAGATCCATGTATTTCACCTCTGTTGCAAAGTTTAGTTTTGTGTTTAGGAGTTCTGGAGGTCTTAATTTAATTTTTATCCTTTTCTTTGTGAAAATAACCATGTTTGTCTTCTTGTGAATGATAAACAGTGAATGGTCCTTGCAGTCCTTACACCACTGTTCTTACTGTTCTCAGTATCGGATTTCTAAATAGGTTACCTAGGCTATAGCCTACGACGGTAGTTTTTTGAAGGCGAAATTTTTTCCGCAGCTATTAAAACGTATTATCAACTTAGCAGAATTACTTATATCTTTACTTGATTTTCGCTTAGTTATTAATTAATTATCAAAGATGGGAACAGGAAATCTTTATATTGGTATTCTGTTTTGGACCACCCTGTATATATGAAACTATTTTTAATTATTAGCCGCCGTTGAGTTGCATATTTACACCAAAGGAATTGTTAATATAATTTGTACGTTCATCCACCAGGCTCCGATCCGTTGAGCGTGGCGCACATTGTATATATATTTTTTGTGTGCCTTATTTATTGTTCCCTATTTATTTAAAATTTTACGCTTTGAATTTGCTTTATACCTAAAAAGATCAATAACATAAATAAGTTCATTGTTTTATTTTCAACATATTACGCCTCTGGTCAAATAGTATTGGTGTCAGAATGGAACACGATTTCCTGCGACGTTACGAACCCTCTCTTTATTCCTAGTCTAAGGTAGAAGTATTTGTCTTCTCGGAAGAGTTTTCTGTACACAAACAAAAATAGAAAATACTTTAAAAACTTAACTTACAGAATAACACTGCAACGTGCGATTTTTTCGCAATCAAAATATCCAACATCTCATCAGTGACATCTTCAATTTCGTCGCTTTTTACTTGGTGCTCGAGCCATTTCAGTACTTTCTCTTCATCTTCGAGGTTTCCTTCGTACAGGGTCGGTATGCCGCTTTCGAAATATACTAAGGAAGGTATTTTTTCGATACCGTATTCTTTAGCTTCGTCATCGTTGTCAATTTTTACGAAAACGATTCCGAGCTGATCGCATTCGTCGTCGATATTTTCAAGTTCGTTGAGGACTTTTTGAGATTTTCTGTCGTCGTCATCGTCTAGAATCAGAAAGACATTGATTAGAGTTTAGAAACTTTAAAAAACGAAGCTGAGATTTTGTTCTCCTTTTAATTTGCAAATAAAGATAAACGCGTAAGGAGTGTAAAATAAATAAAAACAGAAATCCTCTAAATTGAAGTTGTTGATTCAATAGTAAAAAATCGTAAATGCTTTGGGAATTTTAACACAAAAAATGACAGGAAAAACAAAAGTGAACACAAATAAAAACCAGGATAATTTTTATCACCAACACTTTATCTCACTGTAAAAATCAAATATTTTATCTGCCGCTAATATTTATCAACATAGCCATGATCATCTGATAGAAATAATCTACAACTGATTTGTTTTGTATTTACCATTATTTTTCAGTTTATTTACTTTGTCACACTAAAATGTGATATTATAATATTTCCTTTTTTATTAATTATAATTATTTATGGTTGGCGATAAAAGTTTGTATGGACCACGTCAGCAAAGTGTCTTTATTGAACTCGCCTGTTACTCGCCTCATAATCTCAGACTAGTTACAAATAGAATCACTTTGCTGAGTTGGTACACAAATAACTATTACACTATACATTTAGGAAACAAAAATAGTGATCCACAAAAAATATTTTTATAGTGGGCCATGAGTTAAATTTATACTCTCATTTAAAGGTAGAAAAATCATACGTTTGACATACATGAATTTTTTTCAAGACCTTATTTAACAATATTTTTTTAGATCACTTCTTACATTATGTAATTAATTTGTAGTTTAGATAAAATTATTTTTATTATAGCTAAACTGAAGCTAAATATATATTTCGGCCTCGTCTTATAAATAATATTTGCATTATCTCTTGAAGACAAGCAAACGCACACATAACCAATCTAAAAAAGGTTTATATACACTAATAAAATTTGTCGCTATTCAGAAAAGCAAAAATTAATAAAAAAACTCAAAATTTAAGTCGTGAGATAAACAACATACGGCGATATATTTCTAAATAAATAATAATGATTGTGTGTAACAGTATGTCTTTCATAAAGTTATTTTTCAAACACTTGTATTATCTTATCTATATCCTTCGATGACAATTCTGTGTCTGTCAGTCGAGAGACGTTTTCGATTGTCACTTTTTTCTGAACTTGGGGTTGAATAGACAAATTTAGACTTATTGAGATGATCCTCTAATAAGAGATTATTTTTGATTTGGAAAAGCCATTAGATTAAATATGGTAAGTACTGAATATAATATTTTTTGGTTTCATACAATGATTATCAAAGATTAAGGGGTTATATATATTTTTAACATTTTGAGGTTATATTTCTGTTTTTTGTGAGTCGACAAGTTTTGAATATATTAGTTTTTTTAAAATAGATGTATTTTATTTTGTTATTCAAAACGTTTGTCTCATTATTCCTACCTATCCGATTATCCATTAAAAGTTCGAAATATTTTAGCTATGTAACATTAGAATGGTTTTCTTTATTGGAAGAATGAAGAATGATTTAGAGTATTACCTTGTTATATGAAAAGAGATTTGCTGATTTGAATGACTTATGTCCAGAAATCTACAAGGATTTGCTGATTGATAGTAGTTAACGTCTTGAGGACCTAAGAAGTACCATACGCTGTTTGGAGAATTTTTATCGTAGATGAGACCTATTCTACCCCTTTAAAAAGCTCTACCTCATGGAGATAAGTTAGTTTATATTTTACCGAATACTATTTCAAAATAGACAACTTAAAAATAATTTTATTATTAGAAACTCTTGTAGATTTCAATTTGGTTTTCCCGTATCTACTGAAGGCATATCCTTTATTTTTCATTAAATTTAAAAGTTATTTTTATTTTTGTATTTTCATCAATTACTTTTATACGTAGAGATATGCGAATTTAAATACGGTGGCGTCCATTTTTTAATTCCTAATCTTAGTGCTCCATCCACGACCCTTATTACTGAGGTTTAATAATTTAATCTGTAAAAATAGCAACAGCGGTTACATGTGTTGATCACAGTAATGATGATATTGTTACGTCCAGTAAAAAAAAACTATTAAAATACATTAAATAAATTATTACACTTTTAAATAAATTTTAGAATAAAAATAATTATCTCTAATAGAAAATTTTAATAATCTCTTAAAAGTAAATAATATTGTTCTAGACGTTCTAGACTAGGTATAAATTTCGTCTGAAACCAATTTCAAAAATTCATTATATTATATCCATTCATTCATTATATTATGGTAATCCCCGCTTTGTGTTTAACTTTTAAATATGAGGTCTGCATGTTTTATAAACCCTTTTTCATTGCTACTATGGAGAATTATGTATCGAATTCCATCTTGTTTGTTTTTTTACTTGCAGTAGCCATAGTTCCAGTCCAATGCAATGTATTTTCTTTTTATAACATACCTTTTTAGCTTGATTACTTCTAGTACTCTATTTATTCCAATGTCCCCAAATAAAACGAACAATAATACGTAACAATAAGGATAAAACACACTGAAGTGTATGTGGGGTAGTTTTGATCTAAATCCACTATAAAAAAAATAAATTTTCCGTTTTTAAGCTGTGAATGTATTAGAAAAACTACTTAATAAAATGTAAACAAAAGTTTGTATTTGTGTACGAAATATAGGTTGCCTGGGCATGATAGCGAGTTTTTAACCGGATTGATGACAAGTGATAGATTATATCCCGAAAACAACAGCGCAGTAAAAGCTGCGCGTCTTTTTCCCACCCAGTGTCATAGATCTAATAATATTCATGCGGTGAAAAAGGTCCAGCCGATATCAAAGGTACCGACAATTATAAGTGTCGCTTCTCCTTGATCAGTATTCTCGGATATTACCGAGACTTTACAATTTTATTTGTTTTTGATCCTTAATTATAAACAAATTATAACCAAATTAAATAATTATATACATATGAGATGCGAAAAACAGATAAATACATCTGTGTGTATAAATGGATGTAGTTTTTAAATGTTTTTTGTTTTGGTGAGTACAATTTTAATAAATTTCAATTTCTACACACTGATGTATTCATATTCATGGATGAAAACCATCATACTGCTTTTGAATCCTCACAGATCAAAACATATATGGTAATAGTACATTCTGTCGCAATAGTATCGTGCAAATATTTTAAATTGAAGATGTCTAAAGAAAAGGTAGTAGTATCAAGGTATTATTTTTGAAGAGAAATTATATTTGTAAAAAAAAAAATATAAAAACAAAAACATATGTACAGATTTACTTTTCATATTATAATATAATAACTTACCTGGATTTATAAAGACACCTAAAAATTTTAAAACATTCAGCCAAAGACTTAATAAACTTTTATGTACGACTGGGCGATAAAGTCCAGGTTATAAATACGTTTAACAGGCGTAAAGTGCCCCTTTACCACCCGTGAACTACTTTACCGCCCGCCGGGTGATAAAGTAATAGTATATTATTCAACGAGCGGGTAGTGGCTATTACTCGCAAGGATGAAGTTTGCATTACGATCCGAAGGCGAGAAGTGTAATCATCCGACTGAGTAATAGCCATTACTCCCGAGTAGAATACTATACTTTTTCTATGATTATTAAATTAAGTATTAAGAAAGAGTTATGCAATATTTAATCAACAGTAATATTTATATTTTTACAATAGACCCAATTGGGTCGCAGTGGAAGGCGATGAGATCATCCCACTCATTTTCAACCTAACCTATATTTCTACTAGTTAATAAACTATCATCAAAAGGGACGTGCATAAAATTTTGTATGTTATAAGTTATAACTTTTATATATCCGCATTTCCACCATTGGTTTTTAAAGTTAAGTTGGCTTTGAGATGGTTGATGTTTTTTACTTTGATGTAATTTAGTGAGAGTGACAGGATTGTCATTTTAGTTTTCTGTTAAGTACATATATATCTATTGATTAGTCAGGTTTTCATTTGCCTACGGTTTTAAAATTATGAATAATAACAGCTTTATTACCCCAGAAGACTGTGCCTACGCTAGAGGACTTTTTGAACAGGGTTGTTCCCAGAGCGTATTGCGAATTATAAGAAAAACTCAAGGGACTGTTTTCAAAATTTTAAAAGATATCGTGAAACTGGATCCAATCAAAGAAGAGCAGGTCAGGGCCGGCATAGAAAAACTACTTCTAACCAGGATAGTTTCCTAACTCTGCAGATGTCTCAGGCAACGATTTACAAGCACAACAAAGTTACAGGCGTCTTTGGCCCATGTACATATAGTAAGAGTGTGCAAACAAACAGTTCTTAAACGATTAAAAGAAGCCCAGCTACATCCCTACGAGGCAGCGATTGGGCCAAAGTTAGAGAGACACTACAGGATTCAAAGACTTCAGTTTGCTCAGGAGCATTTGCCGTGAGGTAAACGGGAATGGTCTAACGTTTTATTTCGCGATGAATCCCGGTTTTGTCTGTACATTAATGATAGACGCGTAAAAGTGTATAGAAGACCTGGCGAACGGTATGCACAATGCAATTTTAAAGGGCGTGTTAGTTACGGAGGGGGTTCGGTAATGGTTTGGGGAGGTACTTCATTAGGGGCAAAACCAGACCTAGCTTTTGTAGAACGTTTAACGGCTGACCGATACATTGCGGAAATTCTGCAAGAGCATGTCGTGCCATTTGTTCCATTTATTGGGGAAGACTTCCTGTTTATGCACGATAATAGTCGACCGCATACGGCAAGAGTAGTAAGGGAGTTTTTAGATGAAACTGATATTGCAGTAATGGATTGGCCAGCCCGAAGCCCAGATATTAACCCCATTGAGCATTTGTGGGATAAAATGGGTGTTGAGCTTCGTGAGGCACCTGATCCGCCAGAAACGTTGGAGCAAGTACAATGGGCTCTACAGCGTATATGGAATAATATTGACCTTATGTTTATACGGAATTTAATACTTCGCTGCCAGGCTGTTATTGATGCTCGTGGAAGAAACGCCCGTTATTAATATTTTGGGATAAAATAGGTGTTGAGCTTCGTGAGGCACCTAATCCGCCAGAAACGTTGGAGCAAGTACAATGGGCTTTACAGCGTATATGGAATAATATTAACCCTATGTTTATACGGAATTTATTACTTCGCTGCCAGGCTGTTATTGTAGCTCGTGGCGGAAACACCCGTTATTAATTTTTTTGTTCATAAATTTAGTTTTGTATTTGTTTTTTTATCTCCAATAACCCAATAAAAGAAATTATAAAAATCTTTAAATTTAAGCTTGAGTACTTTTGAATCACCTTGTATAAATGACTTACATTAACTATAGCTTTACCATCCTCGATAATTAAAAGTCCTTATGGCAAAGAAAGCACTAAAAATTAGAGTGTTTTTGTCTAAAGAAAGATTTTTGAAAAACCCTATTTTCTATTTATCACGCACGGACTGAGATAAAACTAATACAGGAGCTACTCAAATGAAAGCTGTAACCAACGGTCCAAAAAATTCAATTTTTACACGCTCGTACTTCCCAAATCCCAAATTAAAATGTTGTGAATTTTATATGGGTGCACACTTTGTAAAATGACCTGTATAATATTGGAAAATGGCAAAATAAAAGCTTGGTTTCTAAGAGACGAAGAAAAAAGCTATCCAACTCCAAAACCCGCGGTGAAATACATGCATTTTGAACAAATATATGGCAGTTTAAAATTTTGTTTTTACACAGTTTTAATAAATTTTAATATTTTGTAAATATTACTACGTTCCGGACCGCAGAAAAATTAAATTTATTATTATTTTAAGTTGTATTCTGTGTATCTTTAATATTTTACTTATTGAAGTTAAATTTATTTGGACAAGCGTTACTTTTAGAAAACAATGAGAATCTGCTAAATTAATTAGAATAAAGAAATCGCTTTGTTGTATAAATAATTACTGTGAAAAATAATTAACAATAAATATTACCCCTTAAGAATGATACGCTGATGGATGTTCTAAATATACCAGCAGATATGATGACGAGCCGGTCGTTATGTTCTGAAAAGATCATTATTTGCCTCTCTTCTATTCGCGATTCAAATTAATTTTCGCGCGCCTGTCATTTGTCACCTATAAGTAGGATGTTTGTTTATTTACATGTGTTTGTTTTAGGCGGATTTTGTATTTGTGATTTTTAGATAATATTCTCATTGTAATAGTGTTTTTAAGTTTCATTTAGTGTTAATTTAAGTTTAAGTCTCGTGCTTTCGTCATAAATATAATATTTATCATGTGTATGACTTAATTTGTTGGAAATATTCACCTATTGGTTGCTACAAGAACATCTGGAAATATGTATTTACTAAACACAGGATATGTTTTATTATGTGGTTTAAAGGACATTTTAGGTACCAAAAGTTTATTATTGATGAACTTATTTAAAAATCTTATATTATGAAGTGAATTATGTAGTAGTTTGTATGCATGTAAATGGTAATAAAACCGTCACAAATCAGATTACAGTTTGAATCTATATAAAGTTTTGCAAAAGTTCAATATTGTGAGTTTGTAGATATCCATTTATCGTAAGAAACAAAATTTTACGACTTGCACTTGGAAAATAATGAATACTTCAGTTTTGATTTTGACATTAACACCATATAGATTGCAATTTGATGGGGACTTTTTCGCAGATTTCATTTTTAATATAAACACTATCACATACTACAAGAAATAAACAAAATTAATGCTAAAAGGTAAAAAAAAACTCGAATTATAATTGATACAAATTAAAATGTAAACAATAAACACGAACGCCAATGTTGCCAAATGATGAACTGATTTTAAAACAAAATTAATAAATGAACTGAAATTTAAAAAAATCAATATAATAAATCGGTTTTATTAAAAATCCTTAAATAAATATAGAGTATGATTACATACTATATACAAATTTTGATTCTTAAATAAAAGATCTTATCCACTTCTTCAAGAGCTAAAATCCGACGACGTAGCGAAATTTTGCTACTTCTGGCAACACTGAACGATCGCTTAGCTTGAATCTCGAATAGTTGAGGATGTACTTAGAACTTTATTTTTACGACATATGTAGATGCCTGAAACTTGTATTTTAAATTTAGATCATTATACCAGGATGGTTTATTATTGAACAACTGATCCTAGCTATTATTGATTAATAAAATTAATTTAAAGTTGGGTACTTACAAAACAGAACAGCTAAAAATTTGCTGTCGTGAATCAACTTATCCAACATCTCGTCCGTTACATCTTCGATTTCATCTTTCTCCAGTTGTTCCACAAGCCACTCCAAAATTTCCTCTTCTTCCTCCAAATCCCCGTCGTAAATATTAGGTATTCCTTTTTCAAAATACACAACAGCTGGTAGCGAGTCTAAACCGTACTCTTTTACAGCATGGTAGTCATCGATTTTTACAAATTGTATGCCGTATTTGTCGCAGTCGTCATCTATATGTTCTAAATCGTCGAGAACTTGCATTGATTCTTCGGATCCATGATCGTCTGAAAAATAAAACAAAAAACAACTAAGAACGAATAGAAGGATGAAGAATGTAATTAATGAGATGAACTAAATTCGCAAAAATACTTACAAAACAGTACGGCTAAATGATCAACGCTCGTTATTAAAGTAGTTAAGGTTTTTAGGGTAACATCTTCGATGATATCATCTTCGTCTCCAGTGCTCTTATGTTGAACTAACCATTCTAGGACATCATCTTCTTTGGTTAATTCTCCTAAATATCAAATAAAATAATTCAAAATTATTTGAAATGCCATACAAAAAATTATTATTCGCTACATTGAGAACAATTTATAATCATGGGCGCCGCTCCACGAGGTCAAGGGGTGGTGTCTGTCCCTTCATTTTCCGGATTTGTTATTTTGTATATTTTCGCCATGCTTTCCACTATAACCTGCGGCGTTTTGACCCTGCCTGTAAGACTTGACCCTCACTACCCCCCTCGCCCTGAAAATATTGTGAACGGCACCTGTGTTTATAATGATTTCTCGAGGTTACTGTTACAGTCAGGAAGAGTTGGAAATGGTTTTAAAACATCTGGGAAATAAGTGAGTTATACAAGATATAGAAACAGCAGACACTGATATTATTACCGTAGAATGAGGTTACTTGGACAAAACTTTATCATTTATATTTTTTAGAGAAACTGGCAACGTTTTAAATAATTTTTATGTTATGTTAACTGGTATCGGGTCTATATACATGAGCTTAAAGTCTGGCTGAAATAGAGTAAAAAATATTTTCATAAGAGTGTGTTCACTGATCATAAACTAATAGACAATATTTACAGAAAACTAACGTTGAAAAACTTCTATCAAAACATCTGGTTATGTTTCTTCAATTTGCATGATATTTTGATGGTTATGTATTTGACTTAATATTATTGAGGAAAGGTTTACATGTTTCTGCAAATCTAATCTGTATTGCCATAACTTTTATACATTTTTATATATTTGACCAAATTACCAGAAAACGGAACATATGTTCCAAGATGTTAGAAATCTGTCAAGTTTTCGGTAATGTTTTTTATGATCCAAATATTTAATTCCTTAACAAAGTAACAGACTGTACTTTTTCCGCCACAGACACAGTAGGAATTGAATATAGTAAAATGAAACTGAACAAAATGAAATATTTTTAATCTAACTTATTTAAGGAAAGGTTTTATTTAAATTATTTGCGTAATCTGTTAGTTCAGGAGGAATTTTATCAAATTCAATATAATATTCATTATATTCACCAATTTTTGAATTTAAAAAAACGTTGTTTATCTTTTTTCAGGCAAATTCAAATAAAATACTAAAACGTCGCGTACAACTTTCAATAGGGAAATTCATGACCATCCACGAAGCGGGCGTGGTATTAAGAGCCATTGGCGACTCGTGGTCAAAATATCGTGTGTTCAACAATGACAAAATATGGAATACAGATTAAGGTAAAAACTTTCAGTGTTTAGAAAGGTATATTATAAACACGGAAAGTTATTGTATTGTATTTTATTATACTCCTCTGATAATTTAAGATTTATAATGTGTATTATACTCTTATCTGGAGGAACAAAACGAGCCAATTATTATTGGATAAATTGCTCGAACGAGTTTTTAAACTCTAATCAAAAGGCGATATAGAATGGTTTTAAAAATCAAGGATTGTGAAAATCATCACATGGTTTAACATAAGTAATGCCAATACTTTACAAACCAAAAAATTATACGTCCTAATACTACTATCGGCTTTCGGTCTTTCGTTCTAAGTTAAATCATTTCTCGTTTTTGTTATGCTACGAGTTTACCTTTGTGGGCCTCAGTCTCGATAAGGTGGGAACCACCATTTTAGAGTCTCTCGAATTTTATTAAAAAATGTCAAAAACCATATTTTATTTATCCTTTTGCATGCAGAAACAACACACTTTTACAGCCTTTATATGTAGGTTTCTTTTGTTCGTTAAAAGCTGCATGGAAGAAAATATTACTAAAGTGGACATTATAACTCCAAGGAATTATTCCCAATGCTCAATTTTCAGCTCTATTAAAACAGACTCTCAATTGGAACATAATCAGAAATAATAAAATCAGAATTTATCCTTTGGATAAGCAGCAGGTTTTAAAAAGGATTCCTGACCAGAACATAATAACGAATGAATAGACTCTAGCTGATGGTGTAAAAAACAACTTACGACCATCCGGTTAATAAAAGTTTTCCAAGTAACCTAAATCTACGGTATTGGACCTAAATCTGCTACATGAATGTTTAATTATGATTACAATGATACAGTAAATTTTATAAATCAATTTTTTTATAAGCCTCAATTTAACGCATACAAACCTTCGTAAATAATTGGAATTTGGTGTCTATAATACACAAGCGAGGGTAAGGTTCCTAAGTTATATTCATCAGCCAAGCTTTCGTCGTTAATTTTGACGAATCCTATTCCAAGTTGATCAGCTTCATCGTCAATGTTTTCTAATTCCTGGAGCGCTTTAGAACATTTTTTGCATTCCGGTTTATCTGCAAAGTTTTGTAATTAACAATTTGGTTTAATACTTTTATCTTATATCATATTTTTCAAAATGGATACTGTGCATGGCAACCAAATCTTGCAGGTAAAAACAATTTTCAAGTAGAAAGCTGGATGGACAACACAGCGGTTGGACAGAAACTACTACACTTTGATACACAGTTAATTGGAGAATGTAAATATTTGGTTCAGCTACATACAGAAGCGTTATAAAAGTTATGTATATTAGTTATAATGAACATTATTGGATACAGGAGACACCTTCATGGCTTGGTATGTTTAAATTTAATCAAGAATTTTGATGCAATATCTAATACAATTCATGAAATTCAAAATTGGCTTTTTTATTAATGTGTAGTGTAATGTGGTGTGATTTTGACTTTGCATTATTCTCGTTCGTCGCGTTCCAATTTGACAACTTTAAAAATGCCGCAGCATTTAACTGAGTCTCAAAATTCGAGGGCTATAGCAAACTTTGAAGAAAAGTGTGCTGAATTAAATGTCAGTTAAAGTTGTATAGTAGCTACTAGCCGCACTACACCATATAATTCCGCCGGAAACGGTCAATATGAACGTTATAATGTTATTATCTAGAAGACTATTTTGTTGGCTTTAAAATCCAAAGAAATGAATGAACAACAGTGAGAAATAGGTCTATTCCAGTTATTCCCATCTATTCTCATACTACTAGGTATATCCCGAAAATAAGTATAGCAAGTATATTAATTGCACTACCCTCGAAAATCTACTTTTGGAAATGCCCTACCATCATGATTACTCACTTCTGGTCCGGTGTAAGTTAAGAAATATATTAGGAATACAAAATACGATCCCTTATTCGAGGAGACTGAACAAATTAAACAAATCCGGACTATGCATTAATAAGATTTAAATATGAAATGAAGACCACCATATTCGTCAAACATTGAGCACCGAGCAAAGAAACAAGTCACCTACTTTATAGTAGTGAAGATCATAACAAATCTACAAATTCACAACCAACGAATCCTCAGACCATCGATGTTAATATGCACCTTCTTCACAACCGTAGTGGAGATCCTAACAAAACTTCAAATTGAAATTCACAATCAAGCAATCCTCTGGCCGTTGTCGTTGATGATTCAACTGATAATAACGAAATATACTCAATAATGAACGAATAGCGAAGATAGTAATTCAACCAAAAATAGTCAAATAACTGAAAGATATGTGAGAACAAGACTATTTGAAATATTACGACTGTTCAATGATATTAACTATTTAACCACTATATTCCTTTTCTGTATTTTGGCCTCTGCCCGAACTTACATTTGATCAGCTTATTTTGTTTCTAATATGCCAGTGCACCAGAGCGAATGTAATGAATTTACCTAAATAGTATCTACACTAGGAACTTCATTTATAAGGTTTAATGTATTGTCAATGTGTTATTTTTGTATATCAAATTTCGCTAAATAAAGCCTTATTTTGGAAGTTGCCATTTCACTCTCGTAGAATATATTCGTCAGCGCTGCTACTCGTAAAGTTTTTAAATGCAGAACATAAGCGCAGGAGAGTCCAGTTTACAAATGAATTTATATTTTATGAAAAGACGTTCCAATCTTCTAACAGCAGAAAGCTCTGAGTTTATGGTCTTATAAACTTAAGATTCATAGGGAATGTCGGTAGTATTATTAGTGGAGGCTCTCCCATCAATATTTGGGTCTCTGATAAAAAGACGTTCCAATCTTCTAACAACAGAAAGCTCTGAGTTTATGGTCTTATAAACTTAAGATTTATAGGGAATGTGGGTAGTACTAATAGTGGATCTTCTGTCAATATTTGGGCCTGAAATGTGCTGGCAAATTGATGGGAAATTAATAGCCGAGCATTAAATAAAATCTTAGCCAATGTGATGTTCCCGTTAGTAAGAGAAGTTTTTCTGACAATTTTATCTTCTAATATGTAATAAATCAGTTTGGTATACTCGTAATCGAATAGTAAGAAAGTGGGTCAACAACTAAAACAAATGTTTTGCCAATAGCCAGCAAAAATTGACTTTAACCCCATTGAAAATGTATATGGCTTTATAGTCTGAAAGATATATCAAAGAAACCTTAGGGCGGCAAATCACCGTCAACTATGGGACGTCAATGAAAATGCTTGGAAAGAGCTACATGCGACATTTAATTTTGTCCATGTCAAGATGATTAGAAACTGCTGTACCAGCCAATGACTCTGCTATCAAGTATTAATAACACCATTCTTGCTATAGCTGTTAAATTTCGAGCATTGTCTTCATTTTTATTACAGATCTTCCATACACCTTGTATGAAAGGTATTCACAATTATTTATTATTATTCATTCAATAGCCCTTATTATTTTTTAGTTTTATCTATATCGTTATAAATTTACAAGTAAATAGCAATATATTCTTCCTAGCGCACACAACCCTTAGAAAATATTTCCGCTAAAACGATGAATGTATCGTATGCAGTGTTTATTTTTTATGCTGCCTCCTTATCCAAGGGATACTATGAAACGGTTACCTCGGAACTTGTCTAGGGCGGTAATTAAAATGTGTTTGTAGTTATGGTTTGTCTTAATTGTGCCGTTGTCTTTCTGAAAAAGCATTGTAATAAATAGGGTTGTCCTTGTCTGTATTGGTCTTCGCAATCTTTGCTGTTCTTCCCAGAGTGAAATATGCAACTTTTACTGACATTTTATTCAGCAAATTAACATAGAGTAAAACACAATGGTGATCCAAGTCCAAATCAGATAAACACAAAAAAAGTTAAATAATGCAAATAACAAGGAATTAGGTATTATGTCTAATGATGGAACAACAGATTTTTGGTTATTATCATTGACCTCATTAAAATTCTTGAGGTAAACTATCTATTGCAACAAAATTAATTACAAACTTTCCTATTCCCCAAACCGTGATATCGATGGCTAAGAGAACAAATTAAATGTTATGTGCCCAAAACTGTGCTGTAGACACGTAATGAAGAATGAAAGAACATAAATCTCTAAAGTAAAAGAAAAAGACCAGTATTGATTTAGACAGACGTAATTACAAAAATAATAAAGGACAGAGCTATTAAGGAGGAATAATTGAGGCAGAAACTAGGAACATAAGGTGACCAACATGCGGGATGTGACAAAGGATGCAGGATATTTGATTCTTAGTAGGTATTAAATATATGTGATTTATATAACCTATAAAAAAATTATTTTATTATTTTGTTCATTCGGAGTAAATACTGTTAGTGAAAAATTCAATGAAGAACGACTCGCTGAAATATATTTAACCAATCTGTAATTAGTTTTGAAACTGGGTGCCAAATATACTTTACAAAGCTGAAATTTTTCAATAAACTACTTACTGCTTCCAGCTTTTGCGCACTTATCGGCATCTGGACCTATATATTAAGTGAGCAGTTAAAGTATTATGAACGAAATTAGAACGTGGATTAAGTAAATTAAAATCTGATATACATTGTTGATGGTTAGTTTAAAACTAATTCTAAAAATATTAATACGTACGCTGTATTAAAAATATTAATAATTTTTAATGACTACAAAACACAGTGTGTGGTGTGCGTGTGTTTTATATGATGTATTGTGTTGTAATAAAATATAAATGAGTATGAACATTTTTATAATGTCTATATTTAAGTTTAATGAGTTCATGAGTTGTAAGCAAAAGATGACCCAGATCTTTCAGGGATGTACGTGAAAGTTCTTCAAGACGAATTTTTGATATTTTGGGACATAAAATGTTTTAATTAGAAATACATTATTAAGTAAAATGGATTTTATTTTCGATTTTAACTTTGAAAATTAGTTTAATAAATGTTTCTTATCTACAGGGTGTCCCTTTAGTGCGTAATTACTCGATATTTCAATTTGTGTTATAGAAGCGTAAACAAGTTACAAATAAAAGTTACATGGAGTTGAAAAAGAAATATTAAAAAAATATTTTTGGGTATACAAGGTGTTACCTTTTTCTGGCAAATAAAAATGTACATTTTTTATGTATTTTATTTCAATTTTATAATGGTCTATAATACAATATAAGCAAGAATTTCTTTTTTTAAATATTACAGGTTTACCAAGCAATTATTTTTTTTGTTAAATTAGTGAATGATGCAGACCCCAAATTAAATTGCCATAATTTAGGTAGGTAAGAAATGATTACAAAATTGTTTAAAATACCGACTTATATGATAACAACGAATAGTGGTGATAGAACTGGTTTATTTTATAGAGTGTCTTGAAACATAATTTTAAATTTAATTCACTCAATTTTTTTAATATACATTAAATTCCTTATATATTTACCTATCCACCAAGTTAGCCAATTATACATATACAGGGTTTCCATCAGTGCCTAATTGACTAATAGCTGTTTTATTATTTTTATTATTGTAAATACGAAGAAAGTTTTAAATTAAAAGTTGTATGATCATATTCAATAATTATTCTTAAATATTATTATGCAGGGTGGTTCATAAACGAGGGGCTGACCAAACTTATACTTTTCTAAGGCAAAACACCCTGTAGGTAGTTACACATATTTTATTGCTTTCACATCGTCGAACAATTTTAATAGACTTTATTTATTTGCTATGTTGTATACATGGTGAGTCAAAACTCAAAGTTACGATTTTCTAATTTTTTTAAATGGAATACCCTGTACGTTATACCACCAATTAGTTAATTAATTTCTTTAATTTTCATTTTTTTGCATTCCTTATACCAAAACACATTTTCGTGACGTCAGGAGAACAGAAAACCATTAATTATTTTTGAAAAATGGAATAACAAAAATTTAACACGTTTTATCTTTTTTTTTTAATTGAATTGCGTTATGCCTTTGTCTAAGCGTTATGCATAATATGACCAAGTGCCATATTAAAGAATTGAGAAAAATGACTTTTAGTTTTAAGCTCTTTAAAAAATAAACTATTCATCAGATTGAGTTCATATGGACATCAAAAGTACTAAAAACAAATTTGTTCCGCAGTTTTATGATAATAAAATAAAGAAATATTGGTTTTATGAATAGTGGCGGCTGGTTGTTAAAAACATTGGATCTTCTGCAAGATTCTACCTTCATTTGGCATTTAACATTTTTAATTATTTCTTTTAAAATAAAGCTTTCTATAAGCCTCTTATTTTTTTATAGTTAGACGAAATGGCACTTGGACATGTTATGCATAAAACGGTCCAATTGCCATTAAGTTTTGACTAGATGTTTTAAACTCTGAAACCTTGAGCTAATGACGATAAAAAGAAAACAAAACATTTTTATTTTCAGAAGAATTAAGTTAAAAATATGATTGTTTTATTTGAAGAACTATAAAAATCAATTAAACCTACCTATTTGTAGTATTGTAACTGATCAAGGTTTCTTCAGCCAATTGTAATTAGAAAAATGTTAATTTTTATAATAAAACCATTAAAATCTTGATAAAAAATGGGTTTGTGTATAGGCAATGCCAAACACAATAAAAAAATAAAGAAACATATTTATAGATTGGTGGTATAACATTGCATTTGAAATAACTTAAATTTCGCTATCTCGCATTTAGGTACACCCTGTATATACAATAACTAATTACTGAAAATAGAAAATATTTTAGAAATTTTATCTATTAAAATTGTTTAATGATGTGAAAACAATCAAATCTGTTATCCAGATTGTTTAATCTTAAAAAGTATAGGTTTGGTTTGCCCGTCATTTATGGACTACCCTGTATATTTAAGTATAATTGTAAAACATTGTCCTACAACTTTTGTAATAAAATTTTTTTCGTATCTCCAATAATAAAACAGCTATTGATTATATATGCACTGATGGGACACTCTGTATATGTATAATTGGCTAATCTGTTACTATCGTTGGATAGGTAAATTTATAAGTTTTATGTTAAAATAATATACAGGGTGTTCTATTTGAAAAAATTGATTAAATTAAATTTAAATTTAGCCATATTCAAGATATGTTTCAAGACACTCTGTATAACATAAATCAGTACTATCACCACTATTTGGTAGCTTGGTATCTTATAAGTCTGTGTATAAAACAATTTTAAAATCATTATCTACTTAAATTATGATACTTCAATTTGGGGTCTGCATCATTCTAAAACTTCAAAAATAATTAATTGCTTGGCAAACCTGTAATATTTTTCCAAAATATTTTAGCGTTGACTACATTATTACTGTATTAGTAGACCATTTTTAAACTGAAATAAAATACAGGGTATTTTATTTAAAAAATATACATTTTTATTTGACAAGAAAAGCATTCTGTATATCCAAAAATATTTTTAAAATATCCCTGTTTAAAATCTATATAACTCTTATTTGCAACTTGTTTGTGTGTCTGTATTACTAATTGATTTATCGAGCAATTACGTACTAATGGGACACCCTGTATATATTTTTAAAGTGTACATCTATAAGAAAATATTATTAGAATTTTTAGGTTTTCACATTACTTCTCTTTATAAACATTGAATTTGTAATTGCTAATAAGCACTAAAAAATACTTACAAAACAGAACAGCAACATAATCAGTTTCTTCGACAATCTTGTCTAAAATCCTTGCATTGACTTCTTCGATTCTGTCTGGTAGATCCATTGCTTCCAAACTTGTTAAAAAATCTAAGACTTGTTCTTCGTCCATTAAGTCACCTTTGAAGATAGAAAATATTTAATAAAATTGGTTAAACAGATAAAAAATAATAAAAAAAATAGAAGAAAATTAACAAACATTAAAAACATAAAAATAATAAAAGAAATAAAAAATAAAAATAAAAAAAAAATAATAGCTAAAAAAATAATCAAACAATTCACGTCCAAATCTATAGTAACCAAGTAATCAGTTTCTTACCTTCATAGATGATCGGTTCTTTCTCCCTAAAATAGGTGAGTGCCGGAAATTTCGTAATGCCATACTGTTTAGCCAGTCGTTTGTCGTTGATTTTGACAAAATCGACCCCAAAGGAGTCGGTGTCATCGTCGATTTGCTCTAATTCCTGCAACACTTTATCGCATGTGGTGCAGCTTCGTGCGTCTGTAAAATAAACAATAGGTAAATCATTAAATTATTTTTTCTGTGACGGGAAAAAGTTTGACATTCTCTCTCTTGTCAGGTAATAAAATGTCACTTTTTATGAAATTACTTTTTTCCCTATTTCTCAGGAAAAAATATTAGTACATTTTTCACGGATATATATGCATTCACATAAGTAAAGGGAGATATTTTAGAATATTTTTTTAATAATAAATCGTCGTTTTTCCGTCACAGAAAAAAATAGTGTATTATACACGGGAAAAATATAAGATTTTAACTCTCGGTTTTTTCTCTTGTAAAATAAATAACTATTCAAATTTATAATAAATATACCGCAGGGGTTGTAATCTTTATTTTTTTAATTTATATCAATGATGTTTTGGAATGTACTCAACGCATCAATTCATTTCTCATGCGTCTGTCCCGAATTAGCACATTAAATTGCTGTCTAGGAATATCGACAGTCAATGTCGTCATGGTCTAGCGGTAAGGGCATTTGTCTGAAAAAAGTATTTATTTTCATCTTTGGGGTTCGGGGATTTCTGAGATTTGTTTCTAAATTTTCAAATTACTCTTTAAATTAAATTGTTCAGCCATTAAAATGTAATTTAATATTTACTTTTAAAAATAAAAACTGTAACTAACAGCAAGTCAACACACATGATACCAAACGCAATACGCGATCACTCTCTGCGCGTAGTTTTTTCCTGTTCTGGGCTGTCTTGAGCTGCCTTTGTCACCTGAGTCTCAATGTACACTTAGCCTAACATTTCGCAGCATTTCTAGCAGTACTGCAGACACTCTTGTTCCTGTAAAGTGAGTGGACAGAATAGCTCCACCCGAACATTTACCATAGAAATGGTGAAAGCCTATCCAAATGGTGGTCATTTTGAAAATTAGGGCATCTAGATACACCTCTATCAGCGACGTTTTAACCTGCAGAACTTTGTTGCGCTAAGATCCTATCATCGGGCATCTTTCCGCCACTTGTCAACTAGCAGACTTTTTTGACGAGTTAAGGGACAGGTCTTATTTACCCCTGGAAGCTGCATACTGGGCCTCATAAATGGTCTAATTGATTTGCAGCAAGCGATCCTTCCTTATGCAGATACCCAACTCTTCCATGAATGTCTCTTCTTAGATCCGTGCACGGAACAAATGAAAGGCCATTATTGTCTAAATAAACAAATCAGAAGGCCAAGAGTGCAACAATCATCGAATTGTGGATCCTGCAGCATGAAAGACAAATGTTTCAGATCTTTACTTTTCCCGACTAGAGCCTACTAGAACAGAATGTGGAATATGATAAAAATTGATAGATTATATTAAAGGCCTATTGTGCTTTTGAGAAATACCGATCTACAACTTTCAGGCTCATGTTCACTACATAAAAAGCATTCTGGTTTTGTCTCGGACTATTTCAGATATCCTAGTACTATGATCTGGTTTTGTATCCAAAATAATTCATGATTTCTCTAAACTTTTTAACCCGTTGTAGCTGATTCGTAACTGATATGTTATGGTGTACTTTTCGAAACCGATTGCTTATTAAAAAGTAACTTTGTGTTTATTTATTTGTATATGAGTATCTCTTTTTTTTGTTCTAGTTGCCAATGAAGGCAATATTAGTTTTATTATTATTATTATTATTTTTTTTAATTTCATAGTTAAATAAGCAAATTAGATTTGTATCTTCATCTGACGTGGATTATACTTAAAAATGTTAAGCTGGGCTTTTTAACAATTACTTAAAAATGAACTATTTAATAAATCTACAGCATTATAAATACTAAAGTGATAAACAAAATACCAGTTCGCGCAAGCGTAACATTCCCATTCTCTAAATTCAATTTTATGTGTCCTTCCGTGAGATTCTCATTGGTATATTCGACTTGTCTCGAGTCGAGTTGAGTCTTTATGCGATTCTCAAATGATTTCAATCTCGATTTTATCGAAGACAACTCTCAATTTTAGTCGACAACTTTTATGGTATCGAGGAAGTAAGTTTAACGCTATTAACCTCACATTTTTAGCAATTTTCTCGTCTCAGAGTTTGAATTTATTTAGGAGCAGAAAATAAATTTATAAAAATGGCTTTTAAAATAAAAGAGAAACACATGGACGTTTTGATTTACTTTATGGAAACTCACAACGATTTTGCCACTGGACGGTTGTCCACAAATAATGTGGAAGAAAAAATACAAACTTCTATGGACCGATCCAACAGTAAGGTTAAATTCTTTAGGTTTAGGAGAAAGAACGAAAGAAAAATGGCAAGAAGATTCCATTAAAAAATGTTATTTTAATTGTGTGACATCCTGTATAAATTAGTATCAGATTGATTTACCATTTAGTTATCGGCGCTAGCAATATGTTTAGAGAGGGACATTTCTCTAGGTAAGGATCTGGCTGGCTCTCAATATTAGAATCTTTTCATTAACACTTATTTCTCATCTAATAATTTAAACTAACAGTTCAGTGCCCAGACTGCAAAAGATAGTGGAAGCGAATGTAAGCAGTCTCATATTATAAATTTTCTCTCTCCTATCGAAAATTCACTGCTAGATACGGCTATATACTCAACTTAAACAGAAATTATTTTTAAATTATTCAACTGAATGTTTTGGAGCTAGAGAGGCTACCGAGGCTATCGATGACATTCCTAACTTAGAAGATCTTCAGATATCTACATAGCGGTAATTAATTCACGAGGCTAAAAAAAACTATTGATTATGGTATGATAAAAGTTTTAATTTTAAAGTTTGTTAGTACCAGCATGATAAAAATCATTATTTAGAAAATTTTAGTATTTTTTTTTATTTAAATTTGTAAAATAATTTATTTCGTATAATTAAATAAACAAATTAATTTTTAAGTTAAATCTTATTTTTTTAAGGTTACAACAATTCTCTTTTACTTAAATTAAATTTTATAAAAATTTTTATTAATTTCCTTTTGACAAAGCTAGAATTTACAATTCTCACTAGCTTTCTAAAAATAAAAAAGAGAACAATGGGCGCCCCTCTCTCCCAGAAAACTATTATCCCCAAAGGTGTCTATTAGAAAAGCCTAATTCACGACTGAGAAAACTATATGGTCAATGTGCCTATTTCTTTTTAATTTGATTAAAGGTAAGTAATGTTTGGTGTTAAATTTCTATGAACTAGTCAAAATTTCTTATAAGTGTTTTGAAATTAACTTTGTATTTCAAAGTAACGCCGACATTTTACACATACTCTAAGGGCCAGTCTTTTCACCTCTGAGTAAAGTTGAAAGTAACTACTTGGTGATTTAACTATAGGACAACCTACATGTAACTTTACTTATATGTAAAAAGATTGGCCCTTAAACAATAAAAAGTTCTCTTGTTTGTCATGTACCATTATTGCTCATCTGCACAATATATTAATCGAAATTGTAACCCTAACCCATTCATCCCTACCTCTTTACTAAGGTTTCTTACATTATTGTTGCTTACGTAAATGACTCATTTCATATTTTGCTGTACTGGTATATAGTTCTCTAAAGTTTTGAACTTTAATTAATAAATATGTTTTAGACATGGACTAAAAAAAAGCGGGGGGGGGGGGCAGAACTGAAAAAACAACTAAGTATAATGGAAAAGAGAGTTTTATCTTTACTTGGAAATACCTTTTATGAAGGTTGTGTGACCCCAGAGAGAGGCGTAAGTTCATTTAAATACTTCTGTTGGTATTAACTAAAATTAATTATTGTTTTTAAATTATATAAACATGTACATTTATATGTATATATTATTTTTAGCTTAATTATATAAAGTCTAATACTTCTGGTATCTCTTATTAGAAATATGATGCCAAACACGCCAGAGTTGCAATAGATCATGATTATTTAGTTGCCGGAGAAAAAAAAAATAAAAATATGCGATACATGTGAAAGTATTGACAATCTGTATAAGGAAACTAATCATACATTTATTAAAATACAAATCTATAATATCCTGTTGAACTTGCCTTCCCTCATCTAACAAATTATTATTGTTGTTATCATTATTATGGTATAAATGGTCATTATTGAGTTCTTATTGTATATTTTCATCAAAAACTACATTGTTTTCGATACACATATTGTGTAAAACAACACAGGCATTAATAATTGACCTAGCTGACCTTTCTTTTAAAAAGACACCTTAATATTGTCTACAACAAACCTATGCATCCCTCTACACAATTTCTGACTAAGCAGTGGCTTATATTATATCTAGATGCAGGTGAATTTTGAGGTGGCTGATGTACAGGTGTCATCAAAAATGATTCAAGTCCATATCCACTCTCTCCAATAAGCCATGTACCTATAACACCTGCTGTATATTCTCTTAAGAGAAAATTATGAACCTCAGATTGCCTCCAAATAAATTAATCATGATTAGAACCTCCATAGTTTGCATTTACATTCATAATCGTTAGAAATGAATCGCAAATAATTAATCCTTTCCTACTTATAAAGTTATTTTCTTCCTCATTTGGCTTTAAAATTGAAATGTGAGTGCAGTCAATAGCATCAATTATACCTGGAAAATTAAAGCGTCTCATAAATGTTCCTTTCAATACATTGATTTCCCTTCTATCAGTTGGAAATTTAATTGAATTTTGAGATAAATGAGTATCAATTGCAACTGCAACTTCATTAATGCATCTAAAAATAATACAGTAAACAGTGACTACTTTATTTACATGTAGATACTGGTTTTATATACCTTGGCTAAATTAATAACCTACCTATGTGTTGTAGTTTGACTTAAATTCTAAATTAAAGTCTTCTCCCACCACATACTTTGATTTTCTTTTACTATACGGAGAATGGTCACACTGCGTAGCTTTCTGAGTGCCTTTTAAAAGGAGATAGAAAACTCCGCCATTTTGAACCCTTATTACGTGTTGCCTACATCTTGGCGCAATATTTTTAATAGGTGCGTTTTAATCATCCGCTTCTGCTTCGGAATTGTCGGTTTTCTTGTTTTA